GTTGTAGAATGGTTTGAATATACCAATTATTTTGCCTATGACTGCGGGGTCAATGGTTCACCGCGGTGTGTCGCTTTAGAATTTCTCGGCCGCGTGTAATCGAAAGATAGATTATGTAATGAATCTGGGTTCCAGGTGAATATGAGAATCGCACAGTAAATAATTGTGTATTATTTGACTCTTAAAAGTTTTTTTTATGAAATCTGGGCGTATATTGTTTCCGTTCAAATTGTTTGTGTTTATATTCAAACGAATAAAAGATACTCGTACTTTTTTTTCTATAACTCTTTCTCTTGGAGTTGGAAAGATCTTTATTAATAAAAGGAAAATGATACCATCGAATACTTCGAACAGGAAACAAAGAACACGTTTAAAACCTAATTTAAAAAAGAGATATGATACAGCGTTGTAAAATATTTATTACTTACGGCAAATTTATTTAAATTATTCTTCAATATCAAAATGAGAACGGAGCCTTGTTTACGGTGAACACGGATCTAGCTTTCTTTACTACCATACGTAAGACTCGAACAAAATAATATTTTCATGGGGCAGAGATAGTATAAAAAGGAACAATTTTATCAAGAATTAATTTACCTATTCTGTGGTTGTTTATTTTTTGTGTATGACTGTAGGTCGCTGGATCACACGCCGATTCATTCCCGGTCACCGACTTTGCCCCGCCGCTATCGAGGAAGGCGCGTTATATAATTGTAAACAAACAAGGTGAATGTTAAAGCCGTGCACTTAATGGCTGTGAATAGCATATGTGCTTTTTAGTTATGTTTTATTTTCTCACTATATTGTTTGTTTTTATGTGATAAGAGGAAAAGATTATATTTTCTTCCCTTTTTAGTGGACTTGGTTTATACGATTTAAAAAAAAATGAAATTAAAGGGAAAGTTGTCAGTGAATAAACATGATAATTTGAAAGAAAAAAAGCACAAACACTTCAAGAACTTTATTCTGAAGAATATTACAATCCAATGTAGCCATGTTTATTATTCATAATAAGCTTGCTTTGGTTACACGCATGAGGAGCTCTCGTTTACGTGCTGAGTGAAAAGAATTACCTGTGCATACTAGTATATAGGTCATGCACCAGCTCATTTAAAACAAGACTCGAACACAATAACAATTTCATGAGATCAGTAAGATGTTAAAGCACAACTTTATAATCGATAGTCATTTCGAAATATTTACCGTTTTTGAGTTATAAAGCAAAAACTTTCAAGGTCCCTTGATCCCTAATTACAGGGGCCAGTCCCTTTTGAATAGTATTATATGAAAGCCCTTGCAATTATGCACAACTTTTGTTCATTATGTCTTAACAAAATATTTTTAGTTTTCAAGATAAAAAGGAAAATATGTGTAAATTTTCGCTCTTTTAGGCGTTCTAATTTTTTACCCCTATAAAGCGCCCTTGTGAATACAGAAATCGAAAAACAAAAACCGATGTGCACAACTTCAATCCTTCTGTTACCTAAAATCAGTAAAAATTCTGCTCCAGCTTTTGTGGTCTCTGAGCCTTTATCCGGAAACGAAAGCCTATAAATTTTCATTTAAAGGGGAATAACTCAAAACCGGAAGTGAATTTTTGAAATGTTAGATAGCACTCTGATAGAGTTTAATAATGTCTATAATGTCTGAAAATTTGAGCCAAATCCGGTGATAAATAAGTGAGATATGAGGCCTCAAAGTTGGCGTCTAGGAAGTAGAAGAAAAAAAAAAAGAATAATAATCTTTACCAACAGAATCAGTAGAAGGTCTTCCATTGGAAATGGAAGACCTTAATAACATGAGAAGGCACATTACATAAATTAATAACAATTAAACACTGTTTAATAATATTGATACAATGTACATTCCATCCACAATATCTATCGGTGTTAAGTGAATTTTAATCAGATCATTGTGGGAACAAAATGTTTCAACGGAAGTACGCCATGTTGTGACATTGTAGAGAGCCCCTTTAAAATTATTTTTAGCAAAAATATTTCTAAATGTTTAAATATAAATAAATACAGGAAAATTGAAGACTAAAAAAAAAAAAATCATAACTGTAAACTCTCATCATTAGACTAGATTTTATTAATAAAGCCTGATGATTTTTGCTCCAGCTTTAGCCGTCTCTGAGCCTTTGTCTGGAAACGAAAGCCTATAAATTTTCGTTTAAAGGGAAATAACTCAAAACTGGAAGTGACTTTTTGAAATTTCAATTTCTAATAGAATTTAGGGTAACGTCTATCAACTCTGAAAATTTTGAGCAAAATCCATGATTTCAATATAACTTGGCACACAAGTAGACTAAACTAAGATACATAAAATGGTGCATCAGTTTTTGATTTTGATGAACGATGTTGCCTTGGTTACTAAAAATAGAAATTTCTGTGAAATTCCTTTAAAATGCTACTCCTCCTACAGTTTTGGTCTGATTTCAATATAACTTGGCACATAAGTAGACTACACTAAGATACATAATTTAGCGCATCGGTTTTTGATTTCGATGAATGGTGTTGCCATGGTCACTAAAAATAGAATTTTCTGTGAAATTCCTTTAAAATGCTACACCTCCTACAGTTTTGGTCTGATTTCAATATAATTTTGGCACACAAGTAGACTAGACTAAGATACATGAAATACTGCATTGGTTTTTGATTTCGTTGAACAGTGTTGCCATGGCTACTAAAAATAGAAATGTCTGTGAAATTCCTTTAAAACGCTACTCCTCCTACAATTTTGGTCTGATTTGAATATAACTTTGCACACAAGTAGACTACACTAAGATACATAATTTAGTGCATCGGTTTTTGATTTCGATGAATGGTGTTGCCATGGTTACTAAAAATAGAATTTTCTGTGAAATTCCTTTAAAAAGCTGACTCCTCCTACAATTTTGGCTTGATTTCAATATAACTTGGTACACAAGTAGACTAGACTAAGATACATAAAATAGTGCATGGGTTTTTGATTTCGATGAACGGTGTTGCCATGGTTACTAAAAAAAGAAATTTCTGTGAATAACTTTCAAAATGCTACTCCTTGTACAGTTTTGGTCTGATTTCAATGTAAGTTGGCACACAAGTAGACTACACTAACATACATAAAACAGTGCATCAGTTTTTGATTTCGATGAACATTGTTGCCATTGTTACTAAAAATAGAAATGTCTGTGAAATTCCTTTAAAATGCTATTCCTCCTACACTTTTGGTCTGATGGCAATGGCTTCTTTTCTAATCCTTTGTTATAAGAACAAACCAGTAGAGCTACAGTCTAGACAGAGACTTCTGGTTTTAAAAAAATTTCTATGAGTAACCCTCCCCATCATATACTTGAATTGTTTTCTATTATAAGCTTGCTGCAACTTTTTTTTTCAAATAATATAGAGGACAATAATGTACATTAAAGCTAAATAAATTTAACCATGGCGGGCCGCCATGGTAAAACCCCTTGTGGAGAACCCAATCCAATTAACATGCTTTGCTTGTATGTACAATGTACAAATCAACATACGAGGTTTGTCTCAGAATTTCATAGACTGAGCTCATATCTCTTAAAGAAATTGATGTATCTTTATAAAATTTTCTGGGTGGATAAAGCATGTCCTTGGATGAAAAATTACAGAGTTTTATCATCTTTATTTGAAAACTATTCACGTAATAACATTTGAAGTGATATTGTTGTCTAACACCCGCCGCAATCTGCAACGTCAAAAAGACAAATGTCAACAGTTCAATTTTTTAGAGAAAATATTCCAGTTTACCAGAATCAAATTCTTAGATTAAACAAAACCGTTATAGTTGTAAGTGTGAATTATCTTAATTACTATGATATGATGAAACATTAAAATATGTAAACAGAGTATATGGATGTACATGTATGAAATTATGATAATTTGAAAACCCTATATTTCTACAGGCTTTTCTTCTGTCTTCTGTAATGGAGTTGTACAGTGGCAGTCTTGCCAAATTCTTAGGCCTGTCTTTTATTTTAGTTACCATTATTCACATACATAGAGAAAGCATTTCAGTCATTTTAAATACTTAGGACCAGAAAACTTGTCTACCAAACATTTATGACTGGTACATTTCTGTAAGAGTGAATTCAGGATCAAAACACTTGATTAATATATAGACCAGTGCACCGCCTGTGCCAGCGCAGCCGCCATTTTTCAAAAAGTCAGATTTCAACTTTGTGTATATTACGCGTTATAAAATTAATGTTTGTTAATGCATTAATACCAAAATTTTGAGGAAATATAGTTAATAAAACAATATTAAGAATTTTTTTATTTCCATTCAAAAAATACAGAGTAGTAATTACTTTTCCTTAGAATTTTAAATATAATATACTGATTTTTAATTGCAACTTTTGGGTACTGCACTGCCTTCCTACATCAGACAATGAAATGTGCCATTTAAATAGGATTAATTTGCGTAGTTACTCCATATTTGTCCATAAATTTATTTGATTTGATTGTGTTGGTTTAATTTATGTTTGAAGTTTTATTAATATATGACATCGGGTTCCAACAAAACAACGCTTGTCTACGGAATTTTGAGACAACCCTCGTATTTGATCTTTTATCCAAATCGACAGATCAATATGCCATTTGGATTGGTTTATAGCTAATCCTGATTGACAGCTCCGTAAAGCTATACCATATATCTTAAATGAATTTCATTATATGGTACATGGCATTTACTCCCAGGAAAAATAATCAAACACTGCGTATCACTAACCAGTGAATAGAAATCACTGTTGTTTACTTCCATGGAGAAAGTACATGTAAAAAACATGTTCAATTTATTTTGGCCATTTAAAATGTAAAAAATACTTGAATTGATTACATATTGCGCAATATACTGTGAATTTCTATTTCTTAGAATTTAGATCTAAGGGCAGACCACTCTTGTTTGTGTTATTTATCCTGAACATGTTTAAAAAAAATCTTGAAGTAATATATGATATTCACAATGAGAAAAATTAATTATTTCAGCAAAGCAAATTGAGAGGAAACAATGACCCTAAAAAAGAAGAGAGTTTGTGAGTATAAATATTTTTTTTTTTATCAATTTTTGTTTGTGAGAGTTTTATTTTTGCATATTTACTCGAGACATTGTGCTCATAAAAGTTTCGTTCTCATATATTGTAGTATTCCTTAAGATTATTTAGAAGATTAATCACAAATCGTGAAAATTTTGTCTTGCTAATAAGGAGTTATTCATTTTCTAGCAAAAATAAGGTATTGCTAAAATTAAGTGATCTACAGTACAGTATATGGCCACTAAGTGTAATTCTCTGCAGTTCTTCGGATCTTATTTTTTTCTGTGGATATTGTATTGTCTTTTACCTCATCTAATCAAATACAAGAAGAGCAAGTGTGTTTATTTAATCTGGGTTTTTTTACACCCCCCGCAAACGAAGTTTAGGGGGGTATATAGGAATCACCTTGTCTGTATGTCTGTCCGTCCCTCTGTCCGTCTGTCTGTGCAAACGTGTCCGGTCCACATCTTTCTTTTGGAGGAACATTAGAATCTAATACTCCACACAAAGATTGCCCATGACGTAAGGGTGTGTCATGACCTTGACCAAAGGTCATTTGGGGAAGTTCAAGGTCACTGGAAGAAAAAATTCATAATTCGTGTCCGGTCCATATCTTTTTTAAGGATAAACTTGGTAGGTTCTAATTACACACAAAAATTCTTCCTGACCTAGAAGTGTCTCATGACCTTGAACCAATGTCATTTGGGGAAGTTCAAAGTCACTGGAAGAAAAATTTCATAATTCGTGTCCGGTCCATATCTTTTTTATGAATAAACTTGGTAGGTTCTAATTTCACACAAAAATTGCTTATGACCTAAGGGTGTATCATGACCTTGACCCAAGGTCATTTCGGGAAGCTCAAGGTCACTGGAAGAAAAAATTCATAATTCGTGTCAGGTCCATATCTTTCTTATGGATAAACTTGGTAGGTTCTCATTTCACACAAAGATTGCTCCTGACCTAAGGATGTGTCATGACCTTGGGTCAAGGTCATTTGGGGAAGTTCAAGTTCACTGGAAGAAAAATTTCATAATTCGTGTCAGGTCCATATCTTTCTTATCGCTAACCTTGGTAGGTTCTAATTTCACAAACAGATTCCTCCTGATCTAGAAGTGTCGCATAACCTTGAACCAATGTCATTTGGGGAAGTTCAAGGTCACTGGAAGAAAAATATTCATAATTTGTGTCTGGTCCATAACTTTCTTATGGATAAACTTGGTAAGTTTTCATTTCACACAAAGATTGCTCATGACCTAAGGATGTGTCATGACCTTGGATCAAGGTCATTTGGGGAAGTTCAAGGTCACTGGAAGAAAATTTTTATAATTTGTGTATGGTCCATATCTCTTTATTATGGAAAGACTTGAATCTACTACTTCACACAAACATTGCTTATGACCTGAGGTTGTCTCATGACTTTGAACCAATGTCATTTATGCAAGTTCAAGGTCACTGACAGAAAAAGTTCATAATTCTTGTCTTGTTCGTATATTTAGTCTAATTTTTTTTTTTACTAGGCTGCGCCTTCGTTTCATTTATAAAAAATATAATGAGCAATTACATTTGCACTAAAATGTTTTAGCATTTCTCTCTTCTCTTAGATCCATAAAATATTCATTTAAGCACTTTTGAAAAACCCAGTAGGACAGCTCTATGTCCTATATTAAGTTTTTTGGAGCAGTTTTCTTTCTAAGTACTTCTATGTCCTATATTGATTAGACAACCATGGAAGATGCTTCTAGTGTGTTTCATTGTACCAGTCAAAGTTTCAGATGCAACAATTTCAACAAAGGAATGACCAGGTTAATTTTTTGGGGCAGGTTTACATTTTTGGTGCAGTTTTTGGTGTAGGTCTCATTTCCAAAGAACTATAAGCCCTGTGTTGACCAAACTTGCATGGATGATACATCTAAGGATGCACATTACCAGGCTTGCTTCAGATGCTGAATCTTACCTATATTTTCTGGTTGAGTGAACAGGTTAATGTTTTTGGTGCAGGTCTCATTTCCAAGTAACTATAAGCCCTATGTTGACCAAACTTGCATGGATGATACATCTAAGGATGTACACTACCAGACTTGCTTCGGATGCTGAATCTGACCTACATTTTCTGGTTGAGTGAACAGGTTAATGTTTTTGGTGCAGGTCTCATTTCCAAGTAACTATAAGCCATATGTTGACCAAACTTGCACGGATGATACATCTAAGGATGTACACTGCCAGACTTGCTTTGTATGCTGAATCTGACCTACATTTTCCAGTTGAGTGAATAGGTTAATGTTTTTGGTGCAGGTCTCATTTCCAAGTAACTATAAGCCCTATGTTGACCAAACTTGCACGGATGATACATCTAAGGATGTACACTACCAAACTTGCTTCGTATGCTGAATTTGACCTGCATTTTCCGGTTGAGTGAACAGGTTAAAGTTTTTGGTGAAGGTTTCATTTCCAAGATACTATCAGCCCTATAATGACCAAACTTGCATGGATGGTACATCATAAGAGGCATACTACCAGACTTGCTTCGGATATTGAATCTGACCTACATTTTCTGGATGTGTGAACAGGTTAAAGTTTTTGGTGCAGGTTTCATTTCCAAGTTACAATGAGCCCTATAATGACTAAATTTGGATGATACATCTTAGGATGCATACTACCAGACTTGATTCGGATGCTGAATCTGACCTACATTTTCTGGATGAGTGAAGAGGTTAAATTTTATACATGCAGGTTTCATTTCTAAGTAACTATAAGCCCTATGTTGTGCAAACTTGCATGGATGATACATCTTAGGATGCACACTAATGGACTTGCTCCAGATGCTGAATTCGACATACATTTTCTAGGTAATGGACCAGGTAAAAGTTATCCGTGAAGGTCTATTACCAAGAAACTATAAGGCTTATATAAACCAAACTTGTACAAATGATCATTAAGATACAGTCTCAAACTTGTTTCAGATGCTGAACACATATATTGCAAATTTTTCGGATATAGTTTGAAGTTTTTATATAGGTCTATTCCAAAGTACTATATAAATTTATAAATTTTGCACTTTTGGATAACAAATTTTTGTTGGGTAATTGTGTGACTTTGCCTTACTTAAAGACAACATTCATTGAGGTGAGCTCTAATCTCTGATAACAGATTACCTATGTTTGTTAATTTTGAACATTTTCAACTCCTCTTGTGAAACTGATTGGCAAGTTTCAAGCAGCATGATTGTAGGATTTTAATAGGGAAATTATTTTAAAAAAAAGAATTTTTAAATTGAAGATAAATTTAAAATTTTTGATAAAAATCTACCTTGAGTAAAAAGTAAATACATTTTCTGACTTTAAAAAAAAGTATCTACCATCAACAAAAATTCCTAATTTTACATAGATCTGACACTATATTTCGGTGTTTTGTATGGTGCATGTGATACATAAATAATGGGCAAAAAAAATGATTAAATAAATATAAAAAATTACGGTTTTAGTTCTAAAATTTTTTCAGGTCCTTACAACTTCGTTATAACCGAGTTTTACTGTACTACTACCTACAACAATTTTTTCATTATTTTGATAAACCTTGCCCATCCAAGTGAGCTTTTCTGATTGAAATTTGTCTGTTGTAGTCATCGTAGTTGTTGTCGTTGTCCTCGTAAAGTTCTCACATATTCATCTTCTCAAGAACCACTGGGCCAATGTCAACCAAACTTGCCACAAAGTACAGGGTTCGAAATTCACTATATAAAACTCGTAAAATGTTGGAATATCCAAATTGCGAGTTAAAAAATTTGTAACTTGCGAGTTGATTTAATTGTAAATTTCACCCAGGAAAAATATATCTGAGATCCCCCACTTTTAAACCCGTGTCCAACGATCAGGCCTAAAAAAAAAATGACCAATCCATTCAAATTACCTCCAGGTGGATTTTTTTCTGCCAAATCTACGTGGTTTGAACAATTAGCTGATTCCATTTACTAAAAAAAAATATTAATTGTACTTAAGGACAATCTAAACACTGCACACTTAAAAGAGGTCTAGTTATTTGGTAGTTTTCAGCATTTAGTGATCTCTCCTTCAATGTAAGATGAAAGAAATTGTTATTTACTGTTAATTACATAATTTATAATAGATTAAAATATTTTTTGCATTATATAAGACCAAGAGAAATAAATTTAATTATTTTCATTAATTTTCCCAATGTAAGTAAACAACAGTGATTTCTGCTCACAAACAGTCTATTGTCTTTGAACATTTTTCCTGCACAAATAAGGCAGGTACCCTATGTTCTAAATGATCTTAATTTATCATTTAATTATGATGAGTGAATTAAGGTGCCTTATTTTTTCAAAAATTGTGAAATATGTGGCCCCCAGGATCAGTGGTTCCTGTTGGATGAGGCACTTTTGGTTATACAAGGGGTGATAAAAACAATCAGGATCTAATTGAATAACTTCAGAAAAAGAACTAATATAGAAAGCCAGTGTTGAAAAATTTTCAAAGTAGTCCTCTACGATTTTAAGGCGCATCTGCAACCGTTCTGTTTATGCGTGGATCATGTGATATAGGCAGTCAAGTGACATGCTCCATAACATTCTGTCACAGAGGCTTAAAGAATTTTGGGACTCATATTTCTTACCATGCAAGTTATTTTTTATAACAAAAACAGTCCATTTGTCAGAAATGGCCAAATTTTGGCAATAGTATGAGTGGATAATATGATGTCCTTTCTAGAATGAGCCTAGTGACCATCAAAACCCAAGCCCTCTGTCATTTGAGCGTCATTTATTTAAAATGGATAAAGTATGAGTGCACACCTTCTTTTTATCATATCTGAAATGTTTAAAGTCTAAAGTAAACAATATTTTAGGGATTTATTAGTGTTATCATTGTTAAGATATTCAACTATTTTTCTAACTGTAAGTTGGTGATCTTTTTTATCAAATTGCTTAACAAGACACGTCTTCCGTAGCTTGCTTTAACTGGGCAACAGAACAAAATTTTTAGCTCAACTGAGCTGAAAGCTCAAGAGAGCTTTTCTGATCACAATTTGTCCAGCGTCTGTCTGTCTATAAACTTTTCACATTTTTGACTTCTTCTCCAGAACCACTTGGCCAATTTCAACCAAAATTGCCTTGAGTGAAAGGGATTCAAGTTTGTTCAAATGAAGGGCTACACCCTTATTCAAAGGAGAAAATTCAGATATAGTGAAAATTTGATGGCATGTTTTAAACATCTTTTTCTCAAGAACCACTGTGCCAGGAAAGATGAAACTTATTGGGAAACATCCTCAGGTAGCGTAGATTCAAGTTTGTTCAATTAACTTATGACCCCCTGGGGGTAGCGCGGGGCCACAATGGTCAATCAAAGTTTTAAATAGAAATACATAGGAAAATTCTTTAAAAAGCTTCTTCTTTATTTATATGGAAGCATTCTCAGATAGTGTAGATTCAAGTTTGTTCAAGTCATGACTCCTGGGGATAGGGTGGGGCCACAATGGCTGATCAAAGTTTTACATAAAAATATAATGGAAAACTCTTTAAAAATCTTCTTCTCAAGAATAGCCAAGCCATTATTAGTCATATTTATATGGAAGCATTCTCAGTAAGTTTAGATTCAAGTTTGTTCAAATCACACGTTCACAACCCCTGGGTATTGGGTGGGGCCACAATGGATGTTTAAAGTATAACTTAGGAATATCATAGGAAAAATATTTCAAGGACAGCAAAACCATGATTGGTCATATTTTAGTTTGGCAAGGGGTGGGGGGACAATTTAAGTTCAAATTAAAGGGTAATAAAGCCTTGGGTAGTCAAAGAAATATGCAAGCATCCTTAGTTAGTGTAGATTAAAGTTTGTTCAAATCATACCCTTGAAGGATTGATTAGGACTACTTTTGGGTTTAAACTTTTCAATAATAAACTGATTTCAGCTTTTTTTCCAGCCACAGTGCTCAGGTGAGGATAAACCGTGTACAAATTATTATATGCTTCTGCAAAGGAATTTTAACTTTTAAAAGCTGTTCATTAATCAAATACGACTGAGTCAACAATTTTTTATAACAAATGATCTATATATATATTGAGGTCATTTTCATATTAAGCAGGCTTGGGGCAAATTACATTGTAAAGTAATGCATTACATTACCATTATTTCAACAATTTAGGCATTAAATTACCACTACCATTACTCTATTTTGTTAAAGTAATGCATTACATTACCATTACTTTAGTAAAGTAATGCATTACCATTACTATTGGAGGTTTTTAAAAATAGAAATTTATTCAAAACTATGCAATTTTTTTTTCATATGCATGCATCAACTCCCTTCAAAACTAAACATGATAAATGATAATTCAAGTTTGATTTCAAGTTTTTGTACATATATTACACTGTCAATAACTTACATTCACAGAAACTTCAAACTTTTAAATAGTCATTTATAGACTAGTTATTGTTCATCATAATAGCTGTCTGATAAGCATTGATCTTGATTGGTAAGACTAAAACAAAAACAAGATAATTGAAAAGTAACTAGTTTATTATATACAACACAGCAAAATACTGTATAACTGGTAATTTTTACTGCTGTAAATTTTTACGAATTTTGGTCAAAAAAGGGTGCTTTAAATTTTTACGCGTTAATTTTTTACGAATTGAACATGTCCGTAAAAATTAAAATCATCAGATGTAAAATTCCAGATCACTGATTGTCAGCACTTTCATACAAATAAATTGTCTACAACCCGATGAGAACAAAATATTAACGTACCGTGATAACGATTCATTCAATCATAATATGTTCATTCACCTTTATAAACCATGTGCCTTTCATTTATTCTAGAAAATATACATTGCGAAATACACCACGTGCTCGTCTTGACTTTACCACAAAAGAAAGAGAGACAACTCAAATTATCATGATTTAATATACAGTGTATCTAAAAAGTCGAAGTCTTTATTCGAAACACGTAAAACAGGAAAAAAAGGTCACTGATATAAAGTTTTACGTAAAATTGAATGGTTTAAGTTAAAACCGGCTTTTTATTTTGAAAATATGCAATAAAGTCACTGTGAAAAAAAAATGTGTTAAAATAAATACGTTTTTAAAAAACATGCATGCAGAGTCAGTCAGTAACTCAGTAACTTCTTTTTTTTAATTCACTGCGTCATAAATCCCAGCTTCCCTGAAGCCGCTTGTGACAATATCTGGGTGACCTATAAAATGTTCATACAGCTTTACGAGCCATTTCAAATGTAGAGGTTTTACCACAGACAAAAGCAGAGGAACGGGTTTGATTGGATTTGCCGATTTCACCATTTGAAAAAATAAGTTTTATATTGTTTTTTACATTTATATCTAACTTGTTGATTCGGAGCACTGTTCTAAAATCAAATTTGTATACCATGACTGAAACTGTTTTTTCATGAAATCTTTTGCGGTTTTTTTGAACGGGCAGATCCATGGGTTGTAATTTGCCTGTGCAATTTGCAGGAACCATAACTGGTACAACGGATTTCTCCTTCAAAAAATCCATTATTTCCTCGGAGATCTGAGCCCTAAATACGTCGAAAATACACAGTGTTTTTTGTTTTAATGGCAAGTAAAGGTCATCTTTCACCTGCTTGATGTAAGGAAGGATGATCTTCTTTACATACCTAAATAAAGTAGAGAAAAACTTTTTTAAATACCCAATACCGGTATCACAATCATACATGTTTCATATTCAGTTCAGTAAAATTTAATAGAACGTTTACCTGAGACACGTCTCGCCATTGGCCCAGTGATTAGGTGAGTGGGTGATATCCCACCCTTCAATAAGACTTTGGTGAATCTGGGGGTGAGATTTGTCTGTTGTTCCCTTATAGATAACTTGTGGCTTCAGGAAATGACCACTTAGTGTCCCTGCAAAAACGGCAGTTATTTGTCGCTTGTCTCCCAGCCCCGTAATTTCTACCCATTTACTGCCCTCTTTCTCCATAGTCCACTGCGATACTGGTATAATTGGGAGACCTGTAACAATTAAGTAATTATCAGAAAGCATGTGTCCCGTAAGAATTCTAATTATAGAGCAACTAGGTAATTGACGATGTTTGTATAACTTAATAGCAAGTTAATTAAGAATCAGTACCTGTATGATCCCAGTTGATTATCATTTGGTCCGGTATTTTGTGGTCCTCGACTGCCTTTTTAATGCGACCAAGAAATGCTGTTTTCATTTCTTCATAATTTGTTATCTCAGGTTTAGCAGTGGAACACCCGCGCCGTTTAACCAAAGTTTAACCCATTCTGTGCATAACAGATGCAGCCCAGTGCCTGGTAAGATCTATGTCCCCTCCATGGTCTATGTGACGAGATTTGTCTTGGGACAACAGCGCAGCATTCCCAATGGACAAGATTATTGTAGTGTTGATTATACCACCATTTGCTCGCGTAGCCAAAATGTAGTCTTGAACTTGTTGATCAATTTTATCTCCAAGAACAGTTTTCCTTCCATGTTTCAGGGACGGGATTTCAAGAACAATACAATCTTCAGTAGTGTCAAGTTTCCTCTTTCGTTCAGTTAATTTTTTGACATATTTTGTCTTGAAATTACGCACGGTGCATTCTAAAATAAATGGGAAATCGGTGGAAAATTTCCTCAGAGCTTTTGGTGTTCCATTTTCACTCGCATATCTGCCAATAGCGGCACGATCGTTATCACTAAATTTCATATATTTTCCTCGTTTTTGGAGAAGTTGGAACTGAGGCAACAGATTTATTAACGGCATTAATCACCTCCCGAGGAATTGTTTCACTTAGAGCTCCGTTCGGGTTCGGTAATGTAGATACTGCTTTGAAATAGCTTCGTATCCCCTCCATAATTCTTGACACAATGAATCAAATCTACCAACTAACATCGTATGATTTAAAAAGTGTTCAAGACTGAATAAAGGGAATTTAAGGTATTAGATGTATAACAAGCAATATTAGATAATGGAATATCCCTGCATATTTTCTCATGAAGACACTTTGAATGTTTTAATTCCAAATTTTTATTAAATTTTGACCAAGCGTATTTGAAAAATGGAGCATTTAATTTTCAAACCATACCCTCCTGGGTAGAAACAGTGAAGGGGCTGTTATACTATAACAAAAATTTCTATGACTTCTATGACTTTAATACAAAGTTTTCACAGTGAATGAACAAAAATGTCATAGGTGATTAATAAAAAATACAATTCATTATTAAAAGTTATCATTTATTAATATTATTTCTGGTTTACTGACCTTATTCAATGGTAAGCATGCATTTTATACAAACAACTTCATTTTAATTTTTATTTTTTAAATTCCCAGTATGCTTTGGGCTACAATTAACAACAACAGAAATTGACCTTAATGATCACTTTCCATAAAAAAAATACATAAAATATTTTTCACCATGGTATTTTGAAATTATTAAGCATTTATTACCCCTACCCCCTATATCATCGTTCAATTAGCAGAAACAGGTATGTAACATATCATCTTAAACACTTTAATTTTTGTAAGGTTAAATTTATATTTTGATACCATTTTTGATAGGCATGCAAAAATGAGTCCCAATGCCTATTTTACAATGACCTTGACCTTTTAACCTTGAAAAAAAAACGTAAGATTTACTCAATAACAGCAAAAATACATTGTATATTTTAATAAAATTAGAATTAGATCATCTAACCAAAATATTTTCACTACAATAATTCTCACTGATTGATACAAATATCTATTTTTATACTTTTACAAATTTGAGCCTCATTCAATATCCTTGTGGTCCAAATATACCTGCTGTGCTAGTTCAAAAACTTCTCACCTTAAACTTCTAGAATCCTGGTTTAAACATTTTTACAATACAATCAGTATACAATTATTGACTTTTGTTGAGGTCTTCTCATGAGTATAGTGACCTGATCAGGTATTTGTTGACCGAGGCCAAACACCGAGGGTAATCAATACCTTAGAAGATCCATATACTAACGAGAAGACCAAATTCAAAAATCAATAAATGTTTTATCAAATCAGAAGTTTTACAACATTTTTGAAATTATAATTCTTGTCTTCAACACATATAAACACTTATAACGTAAATTTCAGTGTAAGCAATGAATACTTAAAGCAGCATTAAGACACACAATGGGGAAAATTGACAAATGTAGAATTTTTGCATGCTCCAGTTAAATGTTGTTAACAAGTTTGAGCTAAAAATAAAAGTGGCGTGACCTTGACAAACATGAAAACAATGAAACAGTAGATACAACCTTTGTTTTTTAGGCACTTATATCATGCATTGTCATATCATAACCTAGCATAAATTGACATGGTTTTGTTCATCTAACACAATTAAGAATCACAACTAGAAAAAAACTGCCCTAATTTGGGGATGATTTCCTCAAGGGTTTTCTTGATGTTTGTAACGCGTGGTTGACCTTCACGATTTTTACAGGAAAATATGTTCCTGAGCCCATCCTCTCCTTCGCGTTCAAATATTTTCTTCAAGTGACCCAGATTTAGTCCAGAGCCAGCCACCTTCTCTGCTGTACCCATTTTAAGGATTCCTTTACCAACAAGCAAGTGCAAAGATGTGACATTCTTTGCTTTTTCTCTGTTGTACTTTATTTGATTGATAACAGCTGAAGGTGGGAAACTGTGAATACACATTTTGGTAGCATCAAATCTTGTGTGGGAAATGAGCTTGCCTAGGACCTTCACATCCTCCATAGCATTGTGGGCATCATATGTAGTGTTTAAAATTGTCCTGGCCAAATCTTCTTGCTTGTAAGACTGGGAGGTGAAGGCCTTCTTGAATACATTGAGACTGTCACACAGTCAAGAAATTCTGTCACATTTTATGTTCATCATTGCATTCATTAACACAGGAAAATCAAATTTTCGTCCATTGTGGGCAATCAAATACACACTAGGATATTTCTTTAGCCATTTGCAGAATTTATCAATGGAAGAATAAAGATCTTCTGCATGAACCTTTTGACCATGGACTGTCATTGTCCCACTATTGTTGACAATTATCCCGGTTATCTGCTGTGCAGTGGAAGCAATTGGCACCTTTGGGTAAACGTAAGCAGAAAACTCTGACACCGACCCCACGACTGATGCCGCAATTTGTGTGATATGTGGATATTTCCCTCCACGCACTGAAATATACAAATGTTTGTTAGTTGATAAATACTGATTAACATATTAACATGTACTAGTAGTTATCTTCTTGCTGCAATTGATATTTTACCCAAGTCAGTTGTCTCCAAGTCAAAAACAATGAAGGTAGTATTTTCCCCTGCAGGCACAGGTTTGAAGTTTCCTTGAGGCACTGCTTCTGGTAAGTGCTCTACATCAGCATCAACAGTAAGCCCAATACCTGCATAAGATTAGTAAAAATAATTTTTTAAAAACTAAAATGTTCAGCAAAGCATAATATTCCATGATTAAATATAAAGATAGAACACTGATATTTGTTTTAAATTCTTCAATTTCATAAAAAAAAGAATAAAAGTAGAATTTTTATTTCAAATAAAAAAAAATACCTGACTGATATGAAGCTCCCTCCAAGTTAGTAAGATAATAGAGGAAACATGCGTAAGCATGTTTAGATGAATAAGCAACTTCACACGTAAGTATGAAGCATTAAGCGTCAGTGAGACAAATATATAAAAATGAAAAATTGGCATGGTGCTTGAGAATTGTAGATTTCATAAGCACACGTAGTGTGTGCAATGGAATCCTAATTTCATGAATAACCTGAGATAAGATATGAAAGAGTTCTCTCCGCTTGACTCGCCGTAAGGTGACGCTATGAATAGCCATATAAAAAAAACTCCCTATAGAAAATTTACTCATTCATCGAATTGGTGAGGGAGTACACCGAAACCTTACATTGTAAGGAAAAACTAAAATGAAGTAAACTATTCAATTCACAATAGTTATCAACAAAGAATCTCTTCTTTATTGTCCAGTCTTCTTATGATCTGAAAAATATCAGATAGTGATGAGTTATTATCAGACAATGATATAACCAATGCAATATAAAACAAAAGGTAACGGGAAGGGTGGGTGGGAACACTTTCATATCTTATCTCAGGTTATTCATGAAATTAGGATTCCATTGCACACACTACGTGTGCTTATGAAATCTACAATTTCATTTCATAACCTTCGATAAGATACTTAGTGTTCTTTTAAAGCCCTTATTATTACCTTTTCAATACTGAATTTTGAAAGCTCGACTTGTGTACTGGTTTACAATAAAACCTGGCAAAGGTATTTCCTTAGCCCAGTGAGCTTGTTGCATAATTTCTGAAATGGAAACTCCTGCCAAATAAGCTTTTGATACTGAAGCTGACCTAGTGGAATGAGCTTTAAAATGGTCAGTGTTAATACCAGCTTCAGCCATTATGGTTTTTAGCCATCTAGAAATAGAACTAGTTGTCACTGGGTGATGTGGTTTAACATAACTCAGTAACAACCAGGATCTGTCAACGTTGTCAGAAACATCTCTAAAATCAACTGTTCTTTCTATATAAGATCTAATACATTCTACCACACATAAAGTGTCCGTCTCAAAAGCATTGAATACAATAGAATGTAAAGGATTCCCTGGCTTGCAAGTCTTTGTAGGTTTAGACAATTTAAATGAAATGCAATCACCAGAATAATCATGAAATTCACATTCAACTGGTTTAGTTCTGACGCTCTGCCACTGAGGTCAGAGCAAGTAATGCCACTAATTTACAAGATAACTTTTTCAGACAAAGGTTTTTGTTATCAACTAAGTTATCAATATACCTGAGTAAAATGTCTACATCCCGAGATTCTTGATATCTTGGTTTTGGAGTTCTCATATTGAAAAAAGCTCTCATATGAGTAACAATTAAAGGATGTAGTCCTACACGTTGACCCTCTACAAGGGCATGGTTTTTGGAAATTGCAGATCTGTAGGTATTGATTGTCCTGTACTGTTTGTTCTCATTGTACAAAACAGTTAAAAACTCTAGAATAGGTTCCAGAGGGGAGTGAATTGGATCATATGATCATGAACCACACCAGCCAACCCACTTTCCCCAGGCACTTTTGTAAGCTGCTCTAGTTCCTGGTCTCCATGCTTGGGAGTGTAAAGAGGCAGCTTCTCTAGAAAGAGACATTGTTTGTGTGTGTTCCCCGAAACCATCCATGCAGCTAGATGAAGGGATTTGTCTGATGTAAGAGATTGAGGTAAGCCTGTTGGAGATGTTAACAGATTGGGATATGGTGGAAGAAGGACTGGGTTGTGAATCAACACTTCTAACAGAAGAGGATACCAGGGTTGAGCTTGCCAAACTGGTGCTATCAGTACTACTGATTCTATCTGTTTCTCCCTTATCTTCCCTAAACATTTGCTTATCTGACTGAAGGGGGGAAATATGTAAGCTTTCATTCCCTTCCAAGAATGTAGAAAAGCATTGATCCCTTGTCCCCTGGGTCTGCTTTCCAACTGTAATATTGAGGAAGTTGATGATTTAGACGAGAGGCAAAAAGGTCTACTTTGCACCACCTAGAAGATTCATAATTTGATTGAAAATTGGTTTGTCTAACATCCAATCCCCTGAATCTTGCTGATTTCTTGACTCCCAGTCTGCTTTTGTGTTCAGAGATCCGGGAATAAATTCTGCTATTAGGGAGATTTGATTTACTTGACACCAATCCCATATTTGTTTTACCAGATGATTTAGTAATGCAGATTTTGTTCCGCCCAATCTGTTTATGTGTGCTACAGCTGTTATATTGTCTATTTTTATTAATATTTGAATATTTCTTTTTGATTTTGCAAATGATTGAACTGCCAAAAAAGCTGCCAAAAGTTCTTTTGCATTTATGTGATAGGATTTTTCTACTGGGGACCAAAACCCTCCTGTGCTTTGAGTTTCGTATGTGGCCCCCCATCCTAGGTCTGAGGCATCTGATGTGAGAATCATTGAGGGATTTGAAGCAATGATTGATTTCCCATTTGAAATTTCTAACTGATCTATCCACCATCTTAGTTCTGTTTTTACCCCACTTGATATAGGAATCATTGCTTCGTAATGTTTGTTTTCTAGTAACCCCTTGATCTGAGTCATTTGCATGCATCGACAATGTAATTTTTCTGGAATTATTGCCTGCATTGTTGAAATTAATTTTCCTATCAACTGGGACATTTCTCTGACAGACAGACTTTCTTGTTTCAGAACTTGTGTACAGTTTTCTTTTATTTTTTGCACTTTTTCTTCTGGTAATCTGAAGAGCATATTTACGGAGCTTATTTCGAACCCCAGAAAAGAAATTTCTTGGACTGCGTGTAACATAGATTTTTTCCAGTTTATCATGAAACCAAGCATCCCCTTACAGAAATTTCTGATAAGTGACTTATAAGTGATTTATTCTTTTACTTATAAGTTGTTTATTCTGGACTTACACTTCACTGATACATTTAACTTATAAGTGACTAATATGTTACTCATTAGGATTTTATATGCAAATGAGCTGCTTGACCTATAAGTGACTTATAAGCAAGTATTAGCCACTTATGCTTTATGCAAGTATAGTCACTTATAAGTGACTATAAGTGACTTATAAGTCAAGCATTAACCCTTCATACTTCATCAAGTATTAGTCATCTATAAGTCACTTATAAGTGAAGTACAACACTACCTGTAATATCTTAATTTAGAACAAAACTTCCAACCATGCAGGGGTTGCATGATATGTTCAAAGCTATTTTTTACATATACACATGTATCTGCACTTAAGATGAAATAATCAAGTAAAAATTTTATGGAAAAAATCAATTTCATATGACATTTCTTTGATGATGCAAACTTAACATATTAATTCAGTTTACAAACAAAAATTTTGAACAAAAAGGCAACAAGATTTAATGACCTTGAGACTTCTTCAAATTTATGAAATCTGAAAGCAACTGAGTCAATTGATTCAAAATTTCAGGCAAAGGAAGTTAAAATAGAGAGATTATGTAAATAGAACCTACTTGTTGTACCTGATGTGAAGGCATGCATACTCAAAATAATTCTAAAATCTCCAACATCCTTTCACAGACACAAACTTGGTTTCAAATTCTTGTTGCTGATCTCTGCAGAGACAAACTTTCTGATTGGCTAACTTAAATACCCATAATGCTCCTTGAGAGAAGTCTAGTATAGGGTAAAAATTCTAAGTCCACACTTTATACTCATACCATACTGATCTTCACTTATAAGCGAGGTATAAGTGAAATATTCGCTGATATGTAGCTCATCTTTACTTATAACTGAAGTATTAATGAAATTCGTTCCTCACTTATACTTACTTTGACTTATAGTACACTTATAAGTAAATTTCAAAATTTATAAGTGACTTATAAGTTGCTAATAAGTGGATTATAAAACACTTATAAGTTTCTATTAGTTTTTTCTGTAAGGGTCTGTAAGAGAAACAGTGTTGTATTTCGACTTTGAACCAATTTCTCTCTGTTTCTGGCTAGTCTCAATAAGTATGTTGTCTAAGTAGATTATGAGCTTTATTCCTAACCTTCTTAGAAGACCTACTACTGGTTTTAAAAGTTTTGTGAATATTCTTGGAGCAGAGGCCAGACCGAATGGAAGTGTCTGGAACTGAAACATCTCCCCTCTCCATAGAAATCTCAAAAACTTTTGATCCCTTTGATTGATTGGGACTGTCAGATATGCATCTTTCAGATCTATTTTGCACATGTAAAAACCCCTTTCCATTAAATCTTGAACCATGAACAGACCTTCCATCTTGAAATGTTGATAAAGAAGGAATCTGTTTAATGGTTTTCGATTTATTATGGGTCGATGTCCCCCGTCTTTCTTTGGGACTGTAAACATGTTGCTGACAAATTGATATTGATGGGAAGTAACTCTTACTATGGCATCTTTCTGTAGCAAACTTGTTATTTCTTCTTGAAGAATGTTTTCTTGTTCTGAGCTTAAAACTGGGGGATGAGGAATTTTTTCTTGAACTGGATGACTTATCCAATCTAAAGAAACTCCCTGAACTGTTCTTAGAATTGTTAGATCTTTTGTTATTCTTTGCCAATTGTTTATGAAATACTTTAGCCTCCCCCCAACAGGGATTACATTTTCTTGATTTACCAACTGTAGATTTAAACTCAGAATTTCTGGAAAAATTTCCAATTTTTGTAGAACTACTACAGAAAATGAGCTTAACGCTTCTTCTGCATAAGTAAGAGTTCTTTCCCTTTCTAAATTTTGAGGTATATTGTCCATACCTGTCTGACTTCTTTCTGTAACTCTGGTTAGGTCTGTTGAACCTGTATCTTTGGCCCTCTGAAAATCTGGCGGAGGGCCCAACTTGAAAGGGCTGTCTGAACCTTTGCTTATTCCCGTAACTGGTATAGGAAGTAGAAGGTCGATTGTAAAAAGTTGACTTCTTTCTTTTCTTTTTCTCTGGCTGAAAAGCATCAACTACCTCGCTAGCCTCTTTTCTTCTTTTCCCTGTCTTTTTTAAGATCTTTATAAATTTATCACCAAACAGTTTACTCCTGCTTGTTTCTAAAGCTTCAGAATTTTCATCCAAAATTGCCTTAGCCTTCTTGTAATCTCCTGTAATTTTCACAGTCGCATTGACCCTGCGATGGTGATCAACTGCTACACTTGCTTGGCCAATCAAACAAACAGACTGTTCTAGCAAAGAACACATGTGGGTCACGTCAACGTTATCAACTTCATGAGACTCGCCAGAGGCAGCACAGATTTTCTAGAATGCCCCACAACTTAGAAAGAGGCCCCAAGGTTTTGTAAATTCTCGACTGAATATTTTGTGCCCCTTTGTCAGCTCCTTTATCAAACTGTTTTTCTTTTCCAGTTAAGGACTGACAAAAGAATCTAATTTTTTCACTTTGAAAAGATCACCTGCATCAGGTACCGTAATTTTCGGGTTATAGGTCGATACTTTTTTCCTTAGAACCGCTGGGGTCGCCCAATATACGAATTCGACCTTTCTAAGGCTCAAGTTTACGAAAAATGCCCCAAAATCAATAAAATTTACGTAAATTTCAGAGCAAATCTGTGCCACTTTTATAACTTTTTTCATTATTTTACGCAGAAAATTAATGCCTAGGTAAACAATAAAATATTTATTCTATAGCTTTCTTACAAAATAAATTCCATTAAATGTCCGTTGATGACAAAGGAAAAAAATGTGCTTCATCAAGTTAATAATTCCTCAACATGTTATCCATTGGCCATCATGCGGTAGCCATCTTGTGAAGTTAGGAAGTCGCTATCGTTTACTAAAAGTAACACCGCAACCGTATCAAAATTTAAAATACGGAAAATTTTTCAAGATCGCAAGTGTAGTGTTTTACCATTAATTAGTAGATTGATAAATTGAAATAGTATTAATTTTTTTATTGTAAAAGTCTTATATTTATTTTAATGTAAAATGAGTGAAATAAATTGTTGCCAGTCAATTCCTAAAAATTGTTTTGAAAGATAGTTTGAAGTTTTACAAGCAATTATGGAAATATACATGCGGATGATAAAAAATTAATTTTATTGATATGGAGTTTTACAAGCAAAGAATTAGAAATAAATGCAGGTTACAGAAATATGATTTAAGAAAGAAATATAATTTTAACTGATATTATAAGGTTTATTAAAAGCTTCCCCGTACACAAGAAGTACACTGAATTACCGCTATACAAAGATTGGCTTCTAACGAATTTTAATTGTCTGACAGATAAAAGGATTTACACTGTGTACACGCAAAGGTTTCAACACCTGTGTTGGTTTAATACCTGCAGGGCATGATTAGCAAATCCACGTGCCGTTATAGGGTATTAGTGTTACGCATCATTGAACAAACAAAGCCATGAAATTCATAATGACTGTCAAATTGTGGATGTACCGGTACTCTCAATTAAATTTATAAATTAAACTTACAGCGTGGTAATATTATTTCAATTCTTTACTGTTGCTTTATATATACATTCAATGGTCGTTTGCGGGTTTTAGCAAATCCCTGAAGAACAAAAATGAAAATGGCGGACATCGAAGCAATTGTCGTCCACCGGTAAATAACTAACTGAATAAACTATATAAGGAATGTGTCCAAGTTGTTCTGAAATCAGAATTATTATTCTTTGATCTCGGGTATTTCCCGAATTATAGCTTAAAATAAGAAACGTATTTACGTGTTATTTTTGCCTCTGGTTTAACAGCAGTATGAAACTACGGAGGCATTGAACAGGCAAGTTGGAGAAAAAAAAGTAGTAACACAATTCAAAGACGTTTTAACTACATTTTTTAAAAAACTTTATTTAAATGCTGTACTCATTAAAATACCTAGCTGTTTGTTTTCTTGATACGTTCATGTCACGGAATTGACCGGTAATAGTTGAGGTTTACCTGTTCTGATACGTTGTATCTGCGTAAGAATCTTTAGAAAACGGGAAACAAAGCCTCGTCCTATATAGTAAGTTCATCCTATCGTAGGATTTTTCAAAAATTAAGGCTGAAAATGAGCCTTTCGACCTATATACCCCATCGACCTATAACCCGAAAATTACGGTATTGGATACTTGTCCAAGATCTTAGTTTTCAGGGTTTCGTCACTGAAATATTTATTAAAGAATGGATGACAAAACTGTTTCAACTCATCGTCAGTTTTTAGTTCTACTGGTCAGAGACAAGAAGAGCTTATGCAATAGTAATGCGTCCAGCGTCCGTCTGTCTGTCCCTCTGTCTGTAAACATTTTTTCAAAATGCTACTTCTCCTACAGTTTTGGTCTAATTTCAATATAACTTGGCACACAAGTAGACTACACTAAGATACATAATTCTGTGTATCGGTTTTTGATTTCAATGAACAGTGTTGCCGTGGTTACTAAAAATAGAAATTTCTCTGAAATTCTTTTAAAATGCTACTCCTCCTACAGTTTTGGTCTAATTTCAATATAACTTGGCAAACAAGTAGACTACACTAAGATACATAATTCTGTATATCGGTTTTTGATTTCAATGAATGGTGTTGCCGTGGTTACTAAAAATAGAAATTTCTGTAAAATTCTTTCAAAATACTACTCCTCCTATAGTTTTGGACTGATTTCAATATAACTTGGCACACAAGTTGACTACACTAAGATACATAATTCTGTTTATTGGTTTTTGATTTCGATAAACGTTGTTGCCGTGGTTACTAAAAATAAAAATTACCGTGAAATTCTTTCAAAATGCTACTCCTCCTACAGTTTTGGACTGATTTCAATATAAGTTGGCACACAAGTAGACTACATTAAGATACATAATTCTGTTTATTGGTTTTTGATTTCGATGAATAGTGTTGCCGTTGTTACTAAAAATAGAAATTTCTGTGAAATTCTTTCAAAATGCTACTCCTCCTACAGTTTTGGACTGATTTCAATGTAACTTGGCACACAAGAAGACTTCACTAAGATACACAATTCTGTATATCGGTTTTTGATTTCGATGAACAGTGTTGCCGTGGTTACTAAAAATAGAAATTTCTGTGAAATTCTTTTAAAATGCTACGTCTCCTACAGTTTTGGACTGATTTCAATGTAAGTTGGCACACAAGTAGACTACACTAAGATACACAATTCTGTGTATCGGTTTTAGACTTTCGATGAACGGTCATTGCCTTGGTTACTAAAAATAGAAATTTCTGTTTAATACTTTCAAAATACCACTCAAATACAGTTTTAGTCTGATTATAATATAATGTGGCATGCAAGTAGACTACACTAAGACATAGAAAGACTTAATCAAGGATCATTATTCTATTTATTGCTGTTATAAAGTTTCAATTCCCAACTTCTTAAGTATTTTTCTCTTCCTTTGCTATAAGTACAAACCAGTAGAGCTTCAGTCTCGACAGAGACTTCTGGTTCTCCTTTTACATCGTTATTAATGTCAAATCTTTCGTAAACTTCAGTCGTTTCTGACATTACACTTCTTTTTGGTTTTGAGGTGCTACTTTCGTTTTCTCTACTTCCGGTGTTGGAATTAATGGATTCCGAACCCGACTTCTGTGACTTACGATAAGAAGCTCTAGAATCACTGCTACTCCTAGAACCGTCAGAACTTGAAGAATCTGAACTGGAGCCAGAACTCGAACTAGAGTGTCTCGATCATTTCTTCGCTGTACTCTTACTGTGAGTTTGAGCTTTGGTGTGCCCACTACTAGGGGTTTCACCTTCATCAAAATGGCAACCATGTCGAGAAACGTATTCTCTTGAATTCGCCGGCGAACTCGACCTAGAACGCCTAGTCTGCTCTCTCGACCAGTTTGAGAAGGACATCGAACTGTCTGGTATGCTCAATACATCCGAATGTTTCCTCATAAAACCAAGGTCGAGGGAAAAACGTAAAAAAAACAAATGAACACGGGCACCACGAAGTGTAGTGGACCGTAACAATTCCAGGTAAATGTCACTCACGAGCCAAATCGAAGAATGAGTAAATTTTCTATAGGGAGTCTTTTTATATGGCTATTCATAGCCTAACGGCGAGTCAAGCGGAGAGAACACTAAGTATCTTATCGAAGGTTATGAAATGAAATTGAATATCTAAGTCATGAAGTATACTACATAAAATTAGTTGAATGATACCATATGACATACAATCAATGTACAAAAGACTACATACATAAATTACATGCAGTGTAATAACTACCTATAAATGTCCCCAAGGCACTGACAACAAAGGTGAGAGGTGGGGAAGGTGGCGGTTGAAATCAAAAATGTAAACAATGATTTTTGGAAACACGCACCAGCAATGAATTCGATATAAGCAATGACGTCACCAAAAGATGCTAAAGTGAGGTTGAGTTATGAAACACAAAAAGAGGGTAAAGAGGCTCTAAGGGGGAAAAAAGCAGGCTAAGACAAAATAAATTCGATACAACAAAAATGAAACGTGAGAACAAAAATAACCTCTATAAACATAAATTATATACATAATTCTTATTTTATACACTAGTTATTGTTCATTATAATAGCTGTCTGATAAGCATTGATCTTGATTGGTAAGACTAAAACAAAAACAAGATAATTCAAAAGTAACTAGTTTATTATATACAACACAGCAAAATATCTACACACTACAATTTAAAACATTCAGATTGGAAAACTGGGGACATACAACTGTTCTGCAATTACAACTAAAATATGAATCATCCCCCTTAAAAACAAGTTGAATCATGGGGGATGAAAAACCGAGTACATTTTATAAAAAATATCCCCCCTTAATAGTAACAATTCTCTAGGGGGATGAAATACAAAAGAACATTTTCTCAAAGTTATCCCCCTTTGTAAATAATACATACAACCTTAAAAAAAACTTGGGGGGATGAGATACAAAAATTTTTCAACAATTTGTAACAAATTGGCCAAATACAGATGCAGAGCAGATGTAGCCCCCAAGTTCCTGTGCAAACCCTTGTTGTCAGTACAAAATTATCGAGTTGAACAGAGTGTTGTGTCTGTCTGAACCAGTTGAATTTGAGCATCTTTGATAATGCTAGGGGATGTATGTATGTATCTAACATAACAATCTGATGACCATCGACCTAAAGTTTTAATCAGATGGTCTTCAAGACGGGCTTCATGAGCAGATGTTGCTGCCCCAATTCTGAAGGAATGACCATTATTACTAGTTAAACCTAAATTAAATTTCTCTAAAAGACATTTGATGTGCATTATGAAAAATTGTCTAGATAAAGGTTTTCTGTCTTCTGTTACAAAAAATGCTTCAGTGTTCGCTGAAATTAAAGACTGCCTTAAGGCCATAATAAAAATATTCCTAGTGTTCTCTGAAATTTTATACCCCCGCCTCGATTTTTTTTTATATTAAGAAACTTTGAGAAAGCACTGGACATACCAGGTCAAAAAAAATCCAAAATGAAAAAATATAAAATATATATAAAATAAATTTAATAATAGGAATTTTTAAAAAAATTCGTAATACAATTTATTTATTATGGCCTAAATTGTAATATTTACAAATAGAAAGCACTGGACAGGTTTTATATAAAGGAATTGTAATACCTTGCCTGAAGGGGTCAGTTTTAGACTTCTTAAGTGTAATAAAAACAGATTCAGTGCTGATCTGAACATCACTTAAGCATAGATGGCTCTCAGAGTCAAACTGATTTAACACTGTAAATTCACCACACCTAAGAAAACCAAAAAATGCTGCAACACAAGCAGCTTCTAACATGAAACTATTAAAATAACCAAAAACAGACATTTTTAATAAATTGCACATCTGTGATAAAATGGGCATGGTTATAGGTAAATGGACACATTTACTAGTGGACCCTTGTTTCTTTTTAATGCCAACTAAAATTGTTTTTAAACACTCCAGTGGTTTTCCATCTTTGAGCATGGGGTTGAAACCACCTTGCTTTAGATAAAAGAATCTAATCCCACACAAATAAAGTTTGATTGTAGAATGTTTAATTTGTTTATGTTCATCACAAAAAGCTGCAAAACGCATAAGTAGCCTTTCTATCACTGATGCAAGACTTCCATCATCCCATGTTGTGCCATGAAGTAAAAGGAACTTTGTGTATGAGTCCATACCTGCTTCGTAGGCCATTAAAGTGGAACGGGATAAGGCATGGTTCCAGAGGTTTTCTATTGCGCAGTCCAAAGAATCTGGGATAGTGGTGGACATGGTGTTGGCTGTTCCTCTGCATCCGGCGCCAGTTGTCAGAATTTCTTGATCTGAAAACGAGATAAAGCATCAGCTATAGAGTTTTTTACACTAGGAATATGTTCACTATAGACAGCAAAATTGTTTATGGCAGTGCACATAGTTAAGCGTCTCATTAATTTCATAATGAAAGATTCTTGGGATCGACCTTTTTAGCTCACCTGAGCCGAAGGCTCAAGTGAGCTTTTCTGATCACATTTTGTCCGTCGTCCGTCCGTCTGTAAACTATTCACATTTTCGACTTCTTCTGAAGAACCACTGGGCCAATTTTGACCAAACTTGGTACAAAGCATCCTTATATGAAGGGGAATTTAAATTGTGAAAATGAAGGGCCAAGTCCCCTCACAAGGGGAGATAATCAAGAAAAGACAAAAATAGGGTGTGGTCATTAAAAAATCTTCTTCTCAAGAACCACTGGGCCAGAAAAGCTGAAACTTATGTGGAAGCATCCTGGGGTAGTGTAGATTCTAAATTGTAAAAATCATGACCCCCAGGGATAGGGCGGGGCCACAATGGGGAATCAAACTTTTACATAGAAATATGTAGGAAAAATCTTTAAAAATCTTCTTCTCAAGAACCACTGGGCCAGAAAAGCTGAAACTTATGTGGAAGCATCCTTAGGTAGTGCAGATTATAAATTGTTAAAATCATGACCCCCGGGGATAGGGTGGGGCCACAATGGGGAATCTTCTCAAGAACCATTGGGTCAGAAAAGCTGAAACTTATGTGGAAGCATCCCAGGGTAGTGTAGATTCCAAATTGTTAAAGTCATGACCCCCGTGGGTTGGGCAGGGCCATAATGGGGGATCAAAGTTTCACATAGCAATATATAGGAAAAATCTTTGAAAATCTTCTTCTAAAGAACCACTGAGCCAGAAAAGCTGAAACTTATGTGGAAGCATCCTGGGATAGCGTAGATTCTAATTTGTTCAAATCGTGATCCCCGGGGGTTGGGCGGGGCCACAATGGGGAATCAAAGTTTTACATAGAAATATATAGGAAAAATCTTCTTCGCAAGAACCACTAGGCCAGAAAAGCAGAAACTTATGTGGAAGGATCCTGGGATAGTGTAGATTCTTAATTGTTCTAATCATGTCACCCCCGGGGGTAGGGCGGGGCCACAATGGGGAATCAAAGTTTTACTATGTTGAATCAAAGCATCCTGTGGTAGTGTAGATTTCAAATTGTTTACATTATGGTCAGTTGGGTAGGGTGGGGTCACAATGTGTATAATCTGGTAAAGAACGGAATGTTCAAAGCTTCTCAGGTGAGCGATGTGGCCCATGGGCCTCTTGTTTAATAATGCACACTGTAGTCATATTGTCACAGTTAAAAAGGATCTTTTTACCAGACCACTGATTTCCCCATAGAACTGCTGCGACCACTATGGGATACAGTTCCGAGGAAAGCCATAGAAGCTGAGTAGTCCTTAATTGTGGGTAATTCTTCGGGCCACTTGTCATAAAACCATTTATTGGAGAAAAAACCTCCAAAACCCATAGATGATGAGGCGTCAGTAAACAAACAAATTTGAGAAGCTGATGTCAATTTGTTGTCATAGAAAAGGTTAATCCAATTCCAATTAGTCAGGAATTCCAACCACATTGTCAGATCAGCTTTACATCGGCAGACGTGGGTCATGGGTTTTGATTATCCGTGCGTAACTAATGTTACCACGTGTATTTGTTACTGCATTATCATGCATGCATACGAGTTTTTATCGACATTTTGGTGTTAAAAAATCATTCAAATAACTATAGAACTTACTGAAGATGTGGAAGGATATTTCGTCGACCTTTTCCAACATTAACACATTTATTACCGTCCAGTGGTTTTTCATTGCATTGTATCGAAGATCTTAGGGTGTACACGCACTCATTGTAATAGCATATAGGAAAGACATATTTGATGTTTAGAGTCAAGGACTTTTGATAACTGCACTTGTTTTAATTAATCGTCAATTTTTCTTTTTATAACAAATCTAATTATTTTATTTAAACCTACCCTGTTGTTCGTGAAATAAAGTCATAACACTGATTATTAATATTGTTTACATGTAGCTATGGTATGGATAAATGGATATAGACAAGGGAGGTAACTTTTATTATAATGTACCAATTCCCCGAATTCAAGAAACCGCAATCTTGTCAGATGAGAGAAAAACGTGAAAATTAGAACCCGTGAAATTAATCCCCTATACAGTACCTGCTACGATCTGTTGCCGAACTTCAGGTGAAATGATATAGATGTCGGAGATCGAAGATGCTGGCACCCCGAATGATGGCCTTGACATCTGGCTTGTGTCACTGCTGGTACGAACTGAGTACGACATGGAAGGGAATGCATTAACCTGGGTTTGACATACTGCCATGGCTGACTGCAAGCAGAAGTTTGATGAAGGCTCGCTTTTTTGTGTCACTTGCAGTAAAGTTTGCTGGCAAAGTTGAAGCATATTTACAAGAGCGTTTTCTAATTTGTGATTGTTTCCGAGGCCTTCCGAAGTGCTCTGGGCAGAAGTTGACTGTATGCGAGGTAGGGTTTCCAACGTCGAAGTGCCCTGGGCGGAAGTTGACAGTAGTGTATCACTGCGAGGTGGGGATTGAGTCGTCGGTTGCATCACCGTCATAGGATCCTGGTTTTGACTAGTGGAATTTTGAGAAATAGTTCTGTATTTAAAACAGAGTTTTTACTTGCGACACTGGAAGATGTTTCATTGTTTTTCTGCGTACTAGTGTTAGCACTATTTTCTGCGGTCATAGCGTGGGCACTGTTTTCCGCTGAGAAGGATTGTCTCTCTTTGTTATCTTCGTATAATTTTCTTAACTGGCTGTTATTCAGGGGAATAGAAATGTTTATTCCTAAGTCTTTCAAAGCCGTTTTTAATTGTGCGTTAGTCCAGTTTGCTGGATTAGTAAAGTCTGTAGTATCCTTAGACCTGCGCCTTGGCGCCATGGCGAAGGAATGGAAGTAGGCTATCCAGTTACAAAATCACAGATTTTTGTCAAAAAGAACACAAATCCACACAATGAATACGCAAGAATTATCACATCCAGTAGTAAAAGTTTCTACATGATGAGGCAAGGGAAAAAAACGGCATCAGATGACTTGAAATCAAAAATGTAAATAATGATTTTCGGAAAATGCACCAGCAATGAATTCGATATAAGCAATGACGTCATGAAAAGATGCTAAAGTGAGGCTGAGTTATGAAACACAAAAAGAGGGTAAAGAGCACAGGCACTTGTTTCTGTAATAAATTTTTGACCCATAGTATAATAATAACACAAGGTATCTAACTCCGATTTACACCGAGTACCCCCCTGCCTTAGAATCGCGCTCATTTACACTTTCATAGGAAATGCACGGGTAAACCGTTTATACCTATGTCTTCTACGATAATTTATCTACACAACCATATCTGGCATGCTTGTCTTTATTTTCTTTAATCTCCGTAATCAGCGTCAAAACTCTGATCGCCGAGTGGAAAGTAAAACTGTAACATAGAATTGTATGTTCTAGTCTCGGGCAAAGAGAAAAATTAAAGAATGTGTGGGTTTAAAAATTCAATTCCAGATTTTAAATATTGCATGGAATAAATAAAATTTCATAGTGTTTTATTTTCCATAAAAACACTACGATGTTTTTACGATATAATTTTAGAAACAGATTTTTAGCCAATCAAATTCGAGGTCTAATTCTTTGCCCGAGAAAGTGTAAATGAGCGCGATTCTAAGGCAGTGGGGTACTCGGTGTAAATCGGAGTTAGATACCTTGTGTTATTATTATACTATGGGTCAAAAATTTATTACAGAAACAAGTGCCTGTGGTAAAGAGGCTCTAAGGGGGAAAAATCAGGCTAAGACAAAATAAATTCGATACAACAAAAATGAAACGTGAGAACAAAAATAACTTCTATAAACATAAATTATATACATAATTCTTATGTTATATAACACATGTACGCTATCCGCTTTTTGTGTAACTATTAATGTCATGATTGAAGCAATTTAACTTTTGGGTCACATACTTTAACCCCTGTCTAAAATATCTAATAATAATTAATAAAGCATATAGGCTATTTTTATTAGTACCATATGAAAAAATAAAATGCATTGACAAACTTTTTGAAAAGTAGACATGATGTACATTTTGATCAGCTAAGCATACAATGCCTGCATTCCTTCTATTTTATTTGGTACAATGCATTTTTCATGGTCAGTACAAGCTAGACCAGCTCAATTAATTCTATTCTATTCAGAATAGCTTAATTTAGCTATTTTACTAATTTTTTTTTCTTAAAGGTGTAATTTTCTCAGTATGTACTAAAAAGTGCACCTTGGTGCAGTGATGATATACAACCTTGAACTCCTTAAAATAATGCATGTAAAAATCACTCACCAAATTCTTGAGAGACTTTGTACTCAAAGTTCTACAAGTTTTGGGGCTATATAAAGCAATTGACACAGTTACTTCTGCAATGATATAATAAAGGAGACCAATTATGGTCAACAAGATAATTGATTGGTAACAGTTCAGTATAATGAGAAGCAATCATACTTATCCATGCCTCAACACATGCACTGCCACTCATGCTAGTGGGTAACGGGATGTTTCGCACCTATGCATCGTTCGCGGTACGATGTTTTGCACCCATTCCATTTCGCGTTGAGATGGTTCGCCCCCATCGTTGTACAAATATGTGCTAGCCTACTGAAGTCCGTTTAAAAAAATTTTAGATTTTAAACATGTAATATGATGTCAATTTTTATTTTTTTTGATATTTTTTTTTTTAATTCAAGAAGATTAATAAATTCTCACCTTCTGATCTCCACTAATTACAATCAGAAACATATAAATGGTTTTATATGTCTCTGTAATGCTCATGGAATTTGATGAACACGATCCGTAATCTTTGGCAGTGCATATTATTAAGTTAAATGCATTTGAACACACAACATCTATATATGTAAATCTTATAATTCATAAATATTTTTTATTTTAAAATGGATAAAAATGTTATGGAATATTTGAAATAAATCGTGAGATGTTTCGCACCTAAATGGGCTCGAATCATCCTGGCGCGAACCATCTCAGTGCGAAACAGAATCGGGGCGAAACATCCCGGATTCATGCTAGTGGACAGTTACTTTAACAATAGAAATTCTCTTTTTGCTTAAAAGTATTCAAAAGCTGCAATGTTAGAAATATCTTTCATTTTGGTTGTTGTTTTTATAGCCCATAGTACATACGAGGGGTTATCAAAAAGTTCGTGGACTGAGGCTATAAAATTAGTACTATGTAGTCTGTGCTTTCAAAATTTATATGGAACATAAAACAACACAAAATAGAGAAATGTTGAAAATTTTAGCCTGATACGTTCATTATTTGACGAATTATTATAAAATGAAAACGACATAATATGTTCACCCGGCGCTGTCGTCGTTTATTTTCATGACGTCCGATAAGTCATTGTTTTTTCAATGTCATCTTCTTCTACCTCATACACTTTTTTGATGAGATTCCCTGGAGCTGAGTAAGGACTTAAACCCGCCTTGTTTTTATGACTTTACAATGTCATTAACAGTGGCCTTCAAGGAATATAATATTCCAGATGGATTAATACATTGGAAGAGATCCGCGCTTGATTGTGCTGGCATATTTTGCTTTTGAGAGTTCAATATCTACAACACATGATCAACGTCATTTTTGACGGGATTGATTTTTCACACCTTGACTGCAAATCGACATTAACTGTGTATCCCTTTATTCTCTGAATCTATTTTGACATTAAAAGACAAGTACTCTGGATGCATATTATTTCTCTGTAGCCAGTTTCAACATATTTTAGGTCTATACTATTTGTTTCAGGGGCGAAACTTTATATAATGTTGGAAACGGAAACCCCTCCCCCCTTTTGACGTCATTTTCAAGGCCTCATTTGTTTCGACATTCCGTGTAAAATTTATGATAAAATTTCATAAAACTTCCAGAATGAAGTGAAAATTTCATATTTAACAGAACAATTGTGTTCCGACACATACCTGAATTAACGGGATTTTTGGATGTCAAATAGTCATATCAAATGAGTTTTTCTCAGTTACACATAGGTAAAAAAAAAAAACGTCGTTTTCGAGGTTGAGCCGTTTGGACATACCATTGCTTACAGAAACGTTACTAATTCATTAAAAAATAAAATTCATGATTTGTGGTTTATTCTTTGGGTAGAAAAGATGATGCTTACTAGAAATTTAAAAATTCATTGATGTACCTTGAGCGGTTTTAATTTTATGGCGCTAGTCCACGAACTTTTTGATAACCCCTCGTATATGAAGAGTCAAAAACATGCGCCTTTTTGTTTATTTCTAGCAAAAAACATTTTTGTGAAAAACTGTAATAAATAGCTAAATAAAGCTATTTTGAATAGCTTAATAAAGTATATAACTATTTAAAGCTATATAGCTAAATCAAGAGATTGTACTGGACCTGATTAAGTAACCAAAGTAAGCATGCTTAATGTATATTTTTGATTAGCAATTGTGCCTCTTTTCAAAATTGTGAATTTCATGGCCTCTAAAACATGAACCAAATTCAACTGTTGGTATGTTGTTGCATGATTATTTTAACTCAGGTGACCTATAAGGCGTGTAGGGCTCTTGTTTGCTTTCTAAGTGTGGTAATGACCTTTTGGACTTGATGCGTTGGTGCCCCCTACGAATATTTTTTGTAAAATTGCTATAGTTTGATATATATATATAAATGTAAAACAAATACGAAATATGAATGAAACATACATGTTTTGTACTCATAAAAAGTGAACTGTCATGTATGCATTTTTATGGCGTCAAGCTTTAGATCGGCGCACATATAGCTATGATGAAATCTCTGACTGTTCACCGCTTTCTTCATGCGCCAAATAATATAGTACTCAAACCAAGACCTTCATGTATCTGGCGTAGGAATATACATGCCACTTTTTGCATTTATTCCATAAATTGCTTGAAAATCATACAATTTCAACAGTCCTATACATAGTTGACAACTCACCCACTTTCGTCGGGTTACTTTTCGACCCTTAACCTGATTATTTTTTATGACACGGTGAGTCATGCTTATCACCCAAATCCCCGATTTCCGGATTTGGTTCATAAATTAGGTTGTATTTTTAACTTCCAGCTTGATCTACGTAAACAATGCCGATGGCTATGTGGTTCATCAGGCTAGTAAATTATCGGTGGAGGTGTAAACAATTAACTGGAATTGTTTTGACAAATCAAAATTTAAAATGGCTTCCAACAGAAGTTGAACAAGATTGTTATCAAGACCAGCAGGAACAAATTGAACAAAGAGAAAGAGAAACAATATTTATGTACATGTCAAGGAATCTTGGAAAACAACTTTCATTACCTGATTACATAAAATAAAGTGGTCGAAAACAGTGTAGGTCTTACTGTACATTTAGTACACATTACACTGGTTAATTAAATAATTAGGCCTAATTATGAGAGAGGAAAAGTAATTTCAAATCCTCTAAAATTGCACCAGGGACCTATATATAAACAATATATTAGTATAAACATGATGTAGGTCCCTGTTAGCACATATAGTCCGAAAAGACTCTTTTTTTTTTAATGCAGACTTACCATAATTCATGTCAATGCTGGACAATGAAACCAATGTTCTTATTTAACATGTCAATTTAATCAATAATTTTTCATCATTGTAAGTAAATAATTCAGTAAAGCCTTTTTTAAAATAGAAGAATAACAAGAATAGATATGGGTTACCCCATATCCAAAGATATTGGACTTTTAGATTTAATATGTTTAACAGTGTTTAATGAAATAAAAATAAAACTGTATTTAATAAAAATAAAACTGAACTGTGTAATTATAGAACTTGTGTAAATTTCGTGAGTCCGTAGCATTATGGTCACCCAGTCTCCTAACCATGCTAACAAACAGTACACATACCTATGTCCGCAAGACCAGTTATAGTCTTGGTCTATACACATGTTCGATGGAGTTGTCAAACGAACTCTCGCGAACAAAGAAGTTACGATGGCAGACAGAACTTTTTTTTCATAATTAGATTACATGAATACAAATTCTGATTAATAAAAATTAAACGATTGTCAGTTTAGAAATCCCCGGCCAGTTCGGGTTTTGTTACACATTTTATAGGTACTCTCCCTATGTGTAGTTTGTCCACACACGTGCAGGAATATGCTTAGGGATTAAAATTCCGTCATTTAATATACTACACACACAGAATGATTATTTTTTTTCTCTAAGTGGAAATTATATGATAATTAACGAACAATTAACATGATTTTACTACAGTTGTTGATATAGTATAATCAATTCATCAGTGAAAAAATATCAACCAAAGAATGACCTAGATATTCTCTGTTATCAAACATGTTTAAAAAAAAAAAAAGCTGAGGAGGGAGAAGGGAGCGAGCGTAGGAATATGAACATTTTTTATTTGCATTTAGGGGAGAAAGTGATCTTTGGAGGAAAAATTAACATTAATTTTGGTTTCTTTTACGTATGACATACACAACATTATTCTTATCAGGAACAATTATGTTGTATCTACTTATTAATGATGGAACTATTTTTGTCGGAACAATTTGTGTGAGTCGCCGCTGACTACAGTAATATATCTTGAACTAATAGTATGCACTGATGGAATATATTAATAATAATAAATACATGTACACAAATGACCAGATTTTTACATCTTGGGTGTTGGCAAGTATGGTCCTGATACTCTTTTACCGGGGTACTGAGTAGTGACTACACATAACAAGAGGCCCAGGGGCCACAGAGCTCACCTGAGCACATCAACTAGGAAAAAACACATATCAGATCAGAACTGAAAGTTAACTTAAGTTGGGAGGGGGGGGCTTGACTTTAACCCCCAAGGGGATCATAATTTGAACGAACTAGAATCTACATTACCTGAGGATGATTCCATACAAATATAACTAATCCTGGCTTTGAAGTACTTGAAAAGAAGATTTAAAAAGGTTTCCCTATATATTATGTAAAACTTTGGTCGGCCATTTTGGCCATGCCCTGCCCCCAGGGGTCATGACTTGAACAAATTTAAATCTACATTACCTGAGGATGATTCCACATGAGTTTCATCTTTCCTGGCGCAGTGGTTCTTGAGAAGAAGATTTTTAAAGATTTTTCCTATATATTCCTATGGAAAACTTTGATTGGTTTTGGCCCCGCCCTACCCCCGGGGGTCATGACTTGAACAAATTTAAATCTACATTACCTGAGGATGATTCCACTTGAGTTTCATCTTTCCTGGCCCAGTGGTTCTTGAGAAGAAGATTTTTAAAGATTTTTCCTATATATTCCTATGGAAAACTTTGATTGGCCATTTTGGCCCCGCCCTACCCCCGGGGGTCATGACTTGAACAAATTTGAATCTACACTACCTGAGGATGATTCCACATGAGTTTCATCTTTCCTGGCCCAGTGGTTCTTGAGAAGAAGATTTTTAAAGATTTTTCCTATATATTCCTATGTAAAACTTTGATCGGCCATTTTGGCCCCGCCCTACCCCCGGGGGTCATGACTTGAACAAACTTGAATCTACACTACCTGAGGATGATTCCACATGAGTTTCATCTTTCCTAGCCCAGTGGTTCTTGAGAAGAAGATTTTTTAAAAATGCCAATAATTTTTCTCTAATTCATGATTATCTCCCCTTGGAAAAGGGCGTGGCCCTTCATTTGAACAAACTTGAATCCCATTCACCCAAGGATACTTTGTGCCAAGTTTGGTTGAAATTGGCCCAGTGGTTCTTGAGAAGAAGATGAAAAAGTGAAAAGTTTACAACGACAACGACGACGACAACAGACAACGGACAAATTTTGATCAGAAAAGCTCACTTGAGCCTTCGGCTCAGGTGAGCTAAAAACCAGTTCTCAAGCCGTTCAGTTGGACCATATGAGTTGAATGCTTTTATTTCATAAATGCTGAAATCGTGGTATTTTTTCTAGATATACATGTACAACTAAGCTATATAATTATTTCACGGTATCACTGCCATATCTAAAGCGCGGCGCCATTGTGGCCCTTCAGGCCTTTGATTTTGTTTATTATATTCTATCCTACTGTATTTAACTACATAGTTAGTATCCTTGATATGTACAATTCTTTTTTCTATCCGATCCAGGGAGCTCCTGGCACCCCAGGTGAGGATATATCTGCGAGGGCCTCTGAGGAGGCATTGCCTACACAGTTATTGTTAATATGTTATTAAATAAAATATTTAAAAAAAAACAAAAAAAATGTATGGTTATGACCAGATTTTCACTTGTTGGAGGTTGATAAGGTTTTATTTGACCTTTAAAACTCTTCTCAAGTATGGCAAAATTATACATGTATACTTCACTGATATTATAGTGACATAAAATCAAATCCCCCCTCCCCCAATAAGTAAACTTTTCAATACTTAGCTGATCTGTGTTTTTTAACTAGCCCATGTGCTCAGGTGAGTGATGTGGCCCATGGGCCTCTTGTTTAGTCTTCTTTCTTGTTGGAACTGTTTTTTTTTTTTTCAAGAAAGGAAACATGAATTTAGCCTTTTCTACCCACTTTGGTGGTAGTGGGGGGGGGGGGGGGTTAAAATCTTTCAATAAAACTCATAGAACTATAGACTTAACTGAAATAATGGGCCCAGGAATGCATACTATATTTCTAATGCAGAAAAAATATATTTATAATAAATGATACCTGAAAAAAATGCATCATAATTATGCTTTATTACTTGTGTTACAGAAGTCCAGATCCAAACAGACATTATCGAGGTAATAACATTTATCTATAGTGTTAACAATATTTTGTTGTGCTAAGCTTTGGTATAGATGGCATAGTTGGTCTCCAGATTTTATTCACATGTACGAGTCAGGTTGAAATGTTTCAAATACATTTAGACTAAATACACAAGTAGATTATACCAAGATACATAATTATACCCCATGCAACAAGTTGCGTGAGGTATAATGTTTTAGACCTGTCCATCAGTCAGTCAGAGTGTCAGTCAGTCAGTCGGATAGTCCTGTTTTTTGTCAGCGCAACTCCTCTTAAACTGCACAGAATTTCATCAAACTTTGCAGATATTTAGGACTAAATGTGTAGATATGCATATTACCAGGAAATTCCAATTCCTTTATTTTTTCCGGGAATTTCCACACTAAAAACTTAGATTTTTAGGTCACCTGAGTAAACTCAGGAGACCTATTACTATCTGTTTTCGTCCGTCGTGGTGCGTCGTTCGTCGTGCGTTAACATTTAAACATCTTTAGCTTCTTCTCTAAAACCATTGAACCAATTTCAACCAAATTTGGCATATAGCATCTATGGATGAAGAGGAACAAAAATTATGAATTTCATGGTCCCTGCCACCTGGGGCCTGGGGGGTGGGGCAAAAACCACTAAAATTAGTGCAATCTTTAAAAATCTTCTTTACTCCGGGACATCAAGCAGTCAAACCGTTGGTATGATTGTTATCAGCATTGAGTCCTCTACCAAAATTGTGAAATTCATGGCCCCAGGGTCAGGGGTTCTAGTGCTAGGGCGGGGCTAAACAGGTTATATAGTGAAAATGCATTATTTCTTTGAAATTCTTCTTTTCTGCTCCTGGGCATTAAATAAACTAACCAAGTGCATAGGTTAAGTTGAAAATGACCGCCTTTTCCAAAATTGTGAATTTAATGGCCCCTGGGTTGGGGGTTCTAGTGCCGGGGGGGGGGGGGGGTCTATATTATATAGTGAAATGCAAAAATTCTTTGAAATTCTTCTTCTCTGTTCATGGGCATTAAATAAACTAACCAAGTACATAGTTATGTTTGGTAAGGCTACCTCTTCCAAAATTGTGAATTTAATGGCCCCTGGGTTGGAGGTTCTGGTGTTAGGACGGGGCTTTATTGATTATATAATGAAAATGCATAAATTCTTTAAAACTCTTCTTTTCTGCACCTGAGTTTTTAACCAATGAACTATGTACATAGTTATGAGGAGGAAGGATGCCTCTTTGAGATTTTTGAATTTCAGGGTCCCTGGGTTAGGGCTTCTAAATGTTTATAGAGTGAAAATGCATGAATTCTTTGAAAATCTTTTCCTTTGCTGTTGGGTATAATGCCAATGATCTTAGTATATGTTTATAACAAAAACCCTGCTTCTTCCAAAAATGATTAACTTCCTGGCCCCTGGGACAGAGGTACTTGGGGGGGGGGGGGGGGGGTAACGTAATCTGAAATAATTTAATGCTTTGAAATCTGCACTTTGGTATTAATCAACATCATGATGAAATAAAATTTCAAAAAATTCCAAAATTTTGAAAGATGTGGCCCCAGGGTCAGTGGTTCCTGTGGGATAGGGAGCTCAACTGTGGACCCGCCCTAACACAAGAAGCCCTGACCCAGGGGCCCTGAAATTCACTAAAAGTGGAAATACATGTTCTCTTTGTTACTCTGATCTACCTCTGGGTATTAAGTAACAAAAATAAGCATGCTGAGTGTATAATTATGGTAAGCAATGGTGCTTCTTTCAAAATTGTAAATTTCATGGCCTCTAGTTTAAAACATGAATCAAATTCAATTGTTGGAAAGTTGTCGCATGATACTCAGGTGACCTATAAGGCCCATGGGCCTCTTGTTGGCAATACCTTGAATATAGAAATGAACAGTTTGTAAGCGCAACTCCTCTTAAACCGCTGCACAGAATTTTGTCAAAATTTGCAGATATTTAGGACACAGTGTGTAGATGTGCATATTACCATAACAAATTTTCACACAATATATCTTTATTTTTCTGGGAATTTTAGCACATTTCAACTTATATTTTTGTCCATACCTTGAATATATATATGAAAGTTTGTCAGCACAACTCCACATAAATCGCTGCAGAGAATTTTGTCAGACTTAGCAGATATTTAGGACACAATGTGTAGATGTGCATATATACCAGGAAATTCCAATTCCTTTATTTTTCCGGGAATTTCAGCACTTCAACTTTCAGGGGAGCATGGGGTATGTGAGCTAACTGAGCTTGCTCACTTTTTCTTTACATTTTTATATACAGTGTTTAAATTTTTGAATATAAATGTAGAAAAAAAATCTGTGAAATTCTTACTTTCAAACAGTCATTGTTTGAACTTAAACTGTAAGTGAATGAAACATCATGGCTGTAAATGCATGTTAAAATAAGATGTGTATATGTAAAACACTGATGCCCCCATATGGCAACATAGCAAAGATTAATCTTTTTTAAAATTCAAATTTAATATATTGGTACCAAAGATAGGGTATATTCTCAATGGAAATACTATTGTAAATCACTTTTTATTCATGAGAACTTTATTTTCGCGTAAGCAAGCGAGACAGTGTGCTCGTGAAAATTTATTTCTCGCGTATAATAGATTATATAGAGCAATAACCTCAATTCATGAAAATTTTGTCTCGCTAATCAAGAGTTTATGACTCTCTCGCGAAAATAAGGTGTCGAGAAAATTTAGTGATCTACAGTATTGTGAAATATGAAAGTAGGCCAAGGTTAAAGTTTTTTCATAGGTATATATATTTAAATCTCCAAGGTCAAGGTCATTGGTTTCAATGAAAGGTCTTGCCACAAAAAAATAAAAATGTAAAGTATGGAAGCCCTAGCCCTCACCACTCAGGAGTTATGGCCAAGGTTTAAAAAGTAGGTCAACCTCCAAGGTCAAAGTCAAAGATCTTGCTATCAAATGAAAGGTCTTGTTACAAGAATTAAATATGTAAAATATGAATGCACTAGCCCTAACCCTTTAAAAGTTATGGTCAAGGTTTGCTTTTTTAAAAGTAGGTCAAATACCAAGGTCAAAGTTCTTGGTATTTAATGAAGGGTCTTCTCAAGGATTACATAATTGTTAAGTATGAGATTGCAAGCCCTTAGCGTTCAAGAGTTTAAAGTTTTTTCAGAAGGGGTATCAAAAATTATATAAAATCAAGGTCAAAGGTCAAGTTAATTGGTATGTAATTTCGAGGCTTCCAAAGATCATAATTTTAAAATGCGCATACGTTTGTAATTTTCACAGCTCTCGATCCCAGGCACGTCACAGTACCCTTGACTGCCGTCACAATTGATAACAATAACGTCACAATTAATGCCCTGTTCACACGGAGAATCTAATTCGCAGTAAATTAATGCGAAGTAAACTAATGCGAATCAAACTAATGCGAATTAAATTGCGTTTTACACGACAGCTAATGCGAAGTAAACTAATGCGAATTAAAAGTTTACTTCTGCAGCCTGGCGTCAGCAAACGGCTATTATGACGTTTTGTTTGTTTCCTTTGCAAATCACGTCACCTTTTGCTGAAGCAGATCCATTTGGCATAATGACAAAGTGCCTGTATACACATTTTAATGATTAACAAACTTTTCCTTAGTTTTTCACTCAAAAATAGCAAAAGTACCTATAGTTTCTACCACCGATAAGTGGCATTTGACTAAATATTGCCATTACGCATGCAAGTCCGAGAATTTTAAACAAATTGTCCAGCTTACGCATAGCAAAAAATACATGTATATACACACATGGAGTTAATGCGAAGCCCATTTAATGCACAGTAAACTTAATTCAAGTAAACTAATTCGCATTAAATTCTCCGTGTGAACGCTAAGCGAAGCTAATTCGCAGTAAACTTACGTTTAATTCGAATTAAACTCTCCGTGTGAACAGGGCATAAAATGACGTCAAATTGCGCTAAAATGTTTCGCTGAACTTGGTAACTCTATAGACTGTACATGTTGAAAGATGGTATTTCTATTATTTACATTTTTTTTTTAAATTTTAAATTTTTTTTTAAGTGATAAACAACTTTGGAACTTGATTTATTTTGAGGTATCAATTTTCTTGGTACATATTCATTAATTTTACCTTGTTTTATTTCAATTTGTGAGTTAAAATAACAAACACTGCAAACCAAAAGTAAACGATTTTAGTCTCTCTCCTTGAACATGTTGAAGTCTTTATACACACCGGTTTTTATTGAGGACTTAAATATGCATGAATTAGCTTGATTTAAAAAAAAATTAGTCTATGAATCATTTCAATGCAACCCCGATATATTTTATTTTTCTATATATTACATGATATTAGTAAAATTCGTCATTTGTCGCCTTCATTTTTTTTCCACGTATTTAACATTTTTGAATATAAATGTAAAAAAAAGCATGAAGAGAAAATTATTTCTAAATGTAGGAATTATTTATTTTTAAGAAACTAATACACGTATTGCAACATCGTTTGTTTGTTATGTACACCCATTTATTATATGTCTAGTTGGATAAAATAAGTGCTAATTTTGTGTTTTGATATGCCCCCTTGTCACTGCAATAAAGGCTACCTTCAATTTTCTTTTCATTTTTTATAAGAAGAATGAAAATTGCATGATATATGTGAAAAACAAAACATTTTATCATGTATTTTTTTTAAATTTTCAATTTTTTTGTTTATTGGAGGGTTTTACTATGTAATTGTGTATAAAAACACAAAAAATGGTCCATATCTTGACAGTGCCCCCATTTGATTACAATAAAGGCAAGGTTATAAAATTTCATTCTATTTTTTCTTAGCATGATACATACAAAAATATTTCCAAAAATTAAAATTTTTTATCATTCCGTTTTCGTAATTTTCAAGTAGATTGGGCCTCGTTAAATGAAACTTCGTTTAGGGGGGCATAAAAAACACCAGGATACATATTTTGTTTATTCGTAAGGCCTAGAGAAATAAATTGTGTGTTTCTGGTTCCCCTGCTGACCCTGAAATATATTATTATTCTTCAGAATTATTCACTCAATCTGATTGGTTTAGAGAATGTCATGTGAGGTGTGATAATTTGTGATGTCTCCCTCACGCGCAGGGTGACAACTGTTGTCACCCTTCAGATGACAATAAGATCCAGCATAAGAGAGCATGCAGGGTTACAAGTGTGTTGTCACCTTTTGAATAAAATTACAGTGGTTTAAGCAAGATAACTCTTATTTATGTACACATTGTTAAATATGCAGGATCGGTAAACAATAAATTCTAGGCCACAGTTTTTATATCTTTCAGTTTACGGATCTGCCGACCAGATTTTTTCAGGTTCTAGAGAATAAAAATAATGGATTTTAGCACCCCTTTTGATAATTTTTCAGAAAATTCATGCCTGATCATCAGGGTTTTAATATTTATAATGCTTCTGAGTCCGGTTTGTGAAAATTTTCAAGTCAGTAGTCCCATACCTATGATGCATTTCAATGTCCCAGTAAATTGTCATGCACAAGCTAATACGTTCTACGTTCAATAATTTTAATATAACTTTGGAAAAAATTGCAAACAGTTATCATAATTATCAAGTACATCACTGAAAAGTAATTTAAACCCAAGCTGATCATCATAACTGTATCAAAACATATCAATCTAGTGTGCCAATTATTAACAAAGGTAAGGTGACTGCGTGCGTTCAGCCATAACTAATCCCCTCATTATCGTACTCAAGGTGCCAGACAGTGTAAACAAAGGCTTCACTAAGGAAGTAGACGTGTGAACAATGTCACAATTATCAATAAATACTATGATGGTCCAAAATTTTGTATCAGATAAAACAAAATTCTGATATTTTCTCATCAGATTATCAGAAGAAATTATAAATAAATATATAAGAAATGGTTTTGTGCTCTGATATTATATTGAAATAGCCGAAATATTTGTTTAACCGCTATCGGATTAAGTGGAGGCCACTGTATTTACTATATTCTCCATGTAAACTGAACGATCTTATATGTATCATATGAGGGAACTATTAATATTTGAATACACATGTATTATTTTTGTGTGATTTGCTTTAAGGCATGTATAAACTAACGTTGTATGACAAAATTTCGGTTAAATAATGTATTTAAAAATCACTACTAGAGTAGGCAAAAGTGACTATCAAATGTGTATGGCTCTTTTATCTTACTGTAAATTTGATTAATACACCTTGTTTATATATAGCATCTTCACCTGTATCAAGAGAGCTCCATCAGAACTGTTACAACTCTATGTCTCCCCACTACTACCAGCCCAAGACTATCCCATGGATCAACTACACTGAAAGGCCACCACCAACTTATGAAGGTTACTAATAATTATGTGTAAACCCACCTGATGCTATTCTTGTACTTCATGCATTTATTGTCAATTTTGGAAACTATTTTTTAAATTAGTTTGAACAAAAATTTTATCCATTAAGTGTAAACTTAATAAAACATTGATTAAAATCATATCATGTAAGGTTTTCTTCCTTTTGAGCTCATCTGAGCCAAAGGCGCAGTAGTTAGCTTTTCTGATCAAAATTTGTCTGTTGTCTGTCATCATTAGGGTTGTTGTCATAAACCTTTCACATTTTCATGATGTAGGGCAGGGCCACGAAGTACAGTAAAATTTTTACATAGGAATATAGAGGAAAGATCTTTAAAAACTTCTACTTAAGAACAGCAAAGCTATGATTAGTCATATTTATATGTAAGTATCACCAGGTAGTGTAGCTTTAAATTTGTTCAAATCATGAGCCCCGGGAGTAGGGCGGGGCCACAATCGACGATCATATTTTCACATAGAAATACATAAGAAAATTTTTTAAAAATTTTCTTTGGAACAGCAAAGCCATGATTGGTCATATTTGTATGGAAGCATCCTCAGTTAGTGTAGACTTTGATTTGTTCAAATCATGACAGAGGGTTGGGGCCTGTGGGATATTGGGTGGGACTACAGTGTAAATTCAAACAATAAGTTGAGGACAGCTTAAAGGTACTTGGACACAGATTTGAAGTCAACATTTTCTCTATAATATTACGACTTACATAATTTAATAGCATTTCACACAAAAATTAATTAAAAATCTTATTTCATTTAAAAGTTATTAAAACTTCAAATGATTGACACATCCTTGCTCTTTCTGGCCAACATAATGTCCAAAATATTCAATATTTCCGATTGTTCGTGTGTTAACAACAATTTTATTGTTCGAAAGATTTCTTTTTTAGGATTGATCACTATTAATTACCTTGAACACCTTTCCATTGCAAATATAGACTGATTGTAGAGGAAATTATAGCATTAATTCTCACATAAATTTCTGTACAACATCTTGCAGATTGTAGCCATTGTATAAAGTAAAACATCTTTTGTAAACTATATTGTTCATTCACGTATAATCCCTATTTACCGCCCTGGGCACTTAGAAAATTGCGAAAAGGGGGCGGTTATTTTGGTTTTTTAGTTATAATTTTTATGTTCTATTTTTACTTAAAAAGATCTTTCGAAAAAAAGTAAATTCAGAGAACGACTAAAAGATTGCCTAACTTTCCTTTAAAGGCAGAGATTTTTTACCGGGTGGTAAATTCCAGGTGAGGGAGGGGCTTATTTTGTACAGGTGTGAATGCCTTAGGGGCTAGCAGTCTACCCGTGGTCATCTGTCTCTTAATCCCTATACACAGGAAGTGATTTAATACACAGTTAAAGGCAGAGATTTCAAGCACCGCCTTCAAAAATACCTGGTCTGGGTAGCCCTGTCAATCAAGTGCATGAAGGTCCATCATTGGATGCTGGAACTTGATTGATACTTACTTACTTGTCCCTGTGTATACCCTGTAGACCTTGTTTGGGACTCGTGGTGACGTTCTAATTAACTTTTGATCCTTTGATGTTTACAGAACATGGTATACAGAAACTGTATTACTATGAAAATTTTTATATTGTTGATAATATATGAATTAAAATATACCTTTAGTATTTGAAAGGTTTATAATATAATATGCATTTAAAAACGTTTGGTACATAAAACTTTTTTTCAAATGAAATTTCGATATGATTTTTAATATGCTAAATGGTAAACCTAAAGTGGATATGTTATTGATAAAGTTCAAAGCAGCACTGTGTGAAGTAATTAAATTTAAAATAATGTTTCTAATCATGGGTCACCTACATTTCCTTTTTTTATCAGATGTGAATTTACAAGCAATCTTTTTTTAGCATGTTTCATGGTGACAAAGCCTCATTAAGGTTAGGATAAACCTATACAGTGCAGATATTTTTTTGTGAAATGTAGTTTACACAGCTTTCTTTTCATTTAATTGATTAGACTGGATCCTGGGGATGAATGAATGAAGTCTAATTTGGTTGTTACAGGGAGTTGTTTTATTTTAATTAACACATACACTCACATCTAAAGCAATCTTTGTTTTGATATTTGAATTTATAGTATGATATAATAATAATTTAATGGGTAGAGGGTGTTTTCAAACAGTCAAAAATAAATCAATATATAATTGAAAAACCTTTTTACTACTAATTTTGAAATTGTCTCAAAATCCCCAACACAGGTTAAGTTTGACATCTGGGTATTTCACTGTGTATTTAATCACTTCCTGTGTATAGGGATTAGGAGACAGATGACCACAGGTAGACTGCTAGCCCCCAAGGCAATGAAGGCATTCACACCTGTGCAAAATAAGCCCCTCCCTCACCTGGAATTTACCACCCGGTAAATCTCTGCCTTTAAATACCCCAGGTGTCAAACTTTACCTGTATTGGAGATTTTGAAGCAATTTTAAATTACAAGTGAAAAGTTAAAAGTAAAGTTTTTTCTCAATAATCCATATTTATTTATTTTTGAATGTTTGAAAACACCCTACCCATTCCAAAAATTATTATGATATCATAAAATAAATTCAAATCTTAAAACATTTTAAGATTATTTTAGATGTCAGTGTATGTGTTAAAATAAATTTAAAAAACAAAACTCCAGTAATACCAAATTAGACTTGATTCAGTCATCCCCGGGATCCCACTCTATTAGATAAAAAAGGTCTTGTTAACTATTAATATTTCATCAAAAAATATAGTAGCTTTATCCTAATCTTATTAAGGCTTTGTCACCATGAAACATGCTAAAAAGACTGCTTGAAAATTCTCATCTGAATAACAAAGGAAAATAATTATAATCTACCCATAATAAGAAACATTTATAAATATATATTTTAAAAATTTTATTACTTCACACAGTGCTGCTCTAAACTTTTAAAGTCAGTTACATTTCCAGTTTAGGTTTACCGTTTAGCATATGTTAAAATTAATTTCAAAATTTCTTTTCAAAAAAAGTTTTTATGTACCAAAGTTGAATATTTTAAAAATGTATATTATATTATAATCCTTTTAACATGTTTAAATAGTTAAAATACTAGAGGTATATTTAATTCATATACATGTATTATCAAGATAAAATTTTTCATAGCGATACAGTTTCTCTATACCATGTCCGATAAACAAAGGCAGAGGATCAAAGGATCTAAAGTTAATTTGCAGGTCCCCATGAGTGCCAAACAAGCTGTACAGGGTATACACAGGGACCAGTAAGTAAATGTCAATCAAGTCCCAGCATCCAATGATTGACCTTCATGCAATTGATTGACAGGGCTACCCAGACAAGGTATTTTTGAAGGCGGTGCTTAAAATCTCTGCCTTTAAGCTTAGATACCACTGAAATTATGCTATATCATTCATTTTTCTACTGAGAAATTAGAGATTACACAACATACATGTTGACTCTACCGATTTAGACGGAGTCTACCGCTTTTTCAGTCAATATTCCGCCTACAGATTTTATTCGTAAATCTACCGCTTTTCTACAAAAGTTTAATCAAAAGTATTTTTGGTTCACTTGGGTTTCCATTTTGAAGCCACTTGTCAAAAATCTCGTTGGATATTGCGTGATTTGACGAGGAAGCACACAAATGCTTATTTTATACCAATGTATACATAGATTTCAAGCACATATTTGACAACGACAACACCACAAAATTCAGTGATTACATTGGTTACAATAGATTTCGTCCACATCAAAGCCGAGAAAAAGAATATATGACAGTCTAGAATTAAATGGAAACGTTTGACATCGTCTATAAAAGCAAAGGTTCTGGCAATTTTATCAATAATGTCAATAGAAATCACTCAATTGACAATGCCATGAGGCATGTACCGTAATTTTCGGATAATAGGTCGATGGGGTATATAGGTCGAAAGGCTCATTTTCAGCTATAATTTTTGAAAAATCCTAGGACAGGACGAACTTACTATATAGGACGAGGCTTTGTTTCCCGTTTTCTAAAGATTCTTACGCAGATACAACGTAACAGAACAGGTAAACCTCTAAAATTACCGGGGTAATTCCGTGACATGAACGTATCAAGAAAATAAACAGGTATTTTAATGAGTACAGCATTTAAATAAAGTTTTTAAAAAAAATGTAGCTGAAACTTCTTTGAATCGTGTTACTTCTTATTTTTCTCCAACTTGCCTGTTCAATGCCTCCGTAGTTTCATACTGTTGTTAAACCACAGGCATAAATAACACATAAATATGTTCTTATTTTACAGCTATAATTCGGGAAATACCCGAGATCAAAGAATAATAATTCTGATTTCAGAACAACTTGGACACATTCCTAATATATTTTATTCAGACATTATTTACCGGTGGACGACAATTGCTTCGATGTCCGCCATTTTCATTTTTGTTCTTCAGGGATTTGCTAAAACCCGCAAACGACCATTGAATGTATATATAAAGCAACAGTAAAGAATTGAAATAATATTACCACGCTATAAGTTTAATTTATAAATTTAATTGAGAGTACTGGTACATTCACAATTTGACAGTCATTATGAATTTCATGGCTTTGTTTGTTCAATGATGTGTAACACTAATACCCTATAACGGCACGTGGATTTGCTAATCATGCCCTGCGGGTATTAAACCAACACAGGTGTTAAAATCTGCGTGTACACACAGTGTAAATCCTTTTATCTGTCAGACAATTAAAATTCTGTTAGAAGCCAATCTTTGTATAGCGGTAATTCAGTGTACTTCTTGTGTACGAAGAAGCTTTTCCGTATTTTTTAAATTTTGATACGGTTGCGGTTTTACTTTTAGTAAACGGTAGCAACTTCCTAACTTCACAAGATGGCTACCGCATGATGGCAATGGAGAACACGTTGAGGAATTATTTACTTGATGAAGCACAGTTTTTTCCTTTGTCATCAACGGATATTTAATGGAATTTATTTTGTAAGAAAGCTATAAAATAAATATTTTATTGTTTACCTGGGCATTAATTTTTCTGCATAAAATAATGAAAAAAGTTAT